AAAATGTGGCCCGGGAATGGAGTTCTGGGAACTCGAAGAGCACGAAGTGGCCTACAGTTGGCTCCGGGCATTCAAAATGTGGCCCGGGAATGGAGTTCTGGGAACTCGAAGAGCACGAAGTGGCCTACAGTTGGCTCCGGCCATTCAAAATGTGGCCCGGGAGTGGAGTTCTGGGAACTCGAAGAGCACGAAGTGGCCTACAGTTGGCTCCGGGCATTCAAAATGTGGCCCGGGGGGGAATGGAGTTCTGGGGACTCGAAGACCACGAAGTGGCCTACAGTTGGCTCCGGGCATTCAAAATGTGGCCCGGGAATGGAGTTCTGGGAAGTCGAAGAGCACGAAGTGGCCTACAGTTGGCTCCGGGCATTCAGAATGTGGCCCTGGAATGGAGTTCTGGGAGGTCGAAGAGCACGAAGTGTGTGACTGTTTGCTTAAAACGACTTCTGCGGCACCCTGTCCGGCACCCGCCCAGACCCCCCTGTGGAGTCATCTGCTGCTCTCTTTTAAGACTACTAGAAACCTATCACTCTTCGCTGTTAGGTAAAAAGGAATGCGTGTGGATGGAAAGCTTCACGATGTATGTGTGACGAAGGGCGGAAGCTCCACGTGCGAAATGGTTTCAGCCAAAGCTTGAACCAAAATGGCTACAGACAAATGGCATGTTATTCATTGCATCGGCAACGGAGGAGGGACGACGGAGGAGGGATGATGCGGTCGGAGGGTGGGGAGAGGAGGGGGCATGGAGATGGAGCACTGCTCATAAGAACGATTCTCCGAAGGCCAGCTGATGCGGATGCGGGGAGCGAGGAAGAAAAGAGAAGAATGCCCTCTTCCTCTTCCTCCATCCTGTGGCTGTCCGGGCTCAGGTCCGCCGTATCTCGAGCACGGCCTAGGCCCATGACATGAGGCCACGGCCCTCACGGAGGTTGCACTGGAACTGGCCCTCGTACCTGACGCCGTCCTTCCACTGCATGCAGCCCTCTCCCTGCATGCAGTCCTGAGGAGAAGGGCGGTTGGGGCCAGCATCGGATCTGAAGCCGGATCGAAATCGAAATCAATCGAATCTTCTGGAATCGGGGCCCAAGTCGGCGATCGCCGCATCGGCTTGCAAGTCGGACGCGAGAGTCCGGATCGGAATCCTCCCCCTACATTGGAGAGGAGTTGCAAGATAAAGGAGACGAGTGGGAACCAGGGTCAGGACGACCGCAGGGGGGAACAGAACTACACTCGAGATGCCCCTAGCCGCCAGGCTCGTTTGGAGATCGGCGCACCCCCCACGAGAAGAAAACGCTGGCAGCTGCCGCCGTCGGAATCGGGGAGGGAGGGTGTCGGAGTAGGGTCCTCCGTTTTCCTCCTCCTAGTCCGTCCTCCTCCTTTCTCCTTCGCCTCCGCCTCCTCCTCCTCCTCCTCCTCCTCCTCCTCTCTCTCTCCTCCTGTTCCTCAATCTCCTTCACTCATCCTGCCTCCTGACTCTTCTCTTGTCGTTGACGGGGAGGGCGATGAAGACCGCCCGGAAGTCTCTGGAGGTCTCTGAAACATTTGAAGGCCTCCAGGGGCAAGAGGCCGAAAAAGGGTCAACGATAACGAACGACCTCGATCCTCTCATTTCTGATCTTCCTCCTCCTTCTCCTCCTCCTTTCCTCTCCTTTCCTTATGAATAACTTCTCCCTGTCGCACCCCGAGGCCAGTTTTTAGGACGGGCTGGGCGTTTCGCCTAAGACCTCCTCACCTCTTATGACTCTGACGCTTAACAGTCGGCAACAGTTTCAGATGGAGGGCGGGTGGTTTTCAAAACGTGGCTCTCGCCTAAGCGCCGTGCGCATTCCTTCTAAAAGTGTCAAGAGTTTTACGGATTGAGGATCACCTGTTTTCAAAACGTGACTCTCGCCTAGGCGCCACGCACATTCTTTACACACATTTGCAAGATCATCACGCGTTCAGGATACCCTATTCAAAATGTGGCTCTCGCCTGAGCGTCGCGCATAATCGTTCTAAACAATTTGCAAGAGTTTCACGGATAGAGGGCGGTTCCTTTTCAACATGTGGTTCTCGCCTTAGCGCCGCGCACATTCGTTCACACAATTTGCAAGAATTCGCGGGCTGCCCCGATCAACGTGCCAGAAATGTTTTTTCGGAAGGATTCAGGATTTCGCGGGTGCAACAGTTACGTTGATTCGCGGAGTTGAACTCCCAAGAATGGCGTTCTGGTGCGATCCACCATCGTCAAGAAGCAACAGTCAGGGTTGATCCGTGCAGTTTGAATCCCGAGAACAATGTCCTGGCATGCTTCCAGTCTTCCAACGACGCAGATCCCTCAATGGAAAGGGCCTATCAAGAGGGAGCTTGGAGGGAGGGTGTATTCCAACATCGTTGACGGCTCTTGGGCTTACACTGGTCCTCCTCCTTCTCCTACTCCTTCTCCTCCTCCACCTGCTTCTGCTCCTCCTGCTCCTCCTCCTGCTCCACACCTCCTCCTTACAGATAATGAACGTCATCCTGCCGCACCGCGAGTTGCCAATGTTTAGGGCGGACCGGGCATTTCGCCTAGGACTTCCTCACCAAGTATGACTCTGACGCTCAAGAAATTGCAACAGCTTCACTGATGGGGGTCGTTTTCAAAATGTGACTCTCGCCTGAGCGTCGCGCACATTTGTTTTCAAAATTTACAAGCACTTCACGGATTGAGGGCGGGTCGTTTTCAAAATGTGGCTCTCGCCTTAGCGCCGCGCACATTCGTTTTCAACATGTGCATGAGTTTCACGGATTGAGGGCGGTTCCTTTTCAAAATGTGGCTCTCGCCTTAGCGCCGCGCATTTTCGTTTCAAGAGTTTGCAAGAGTTTCACGGGTTCCCATCATCAGCGTACCAAAAATGGTGTAGTGGAAGGATTCAGGATTATGCTGGTGCAACATTTACGTTTATTCAATGTGTTGAAGTCCCAAGAACGGCGTTCTGGCACGATTCCGGATCGTCAAGGCGCAACAGTCAGGTTGATACGTGATCTTGAAATCACGAGGACAATGTCTTGGCATGCTGCAGGATCTTCAAACGGTTATCTTCCAACGAGGCAGTACCGTTGTAAAGGCCTATGAAGAGGGAGCTTGGAGGGAGGGTTCATTCCGACATCGTTGATGACTCTTGGGCTTACATTAGTCCTCCTCCTCCTCCTCCTGCTCCTCCTGCTCGTCCTCCTCCTGCTCCTGCTCCTGCTGCTCCTCCTCCTCCTCCTCCTCCTCCTCGTCCTCCTCCTCCTCCTCCTCCTCCTCCTCCTCCTCCTCCTCCTCCTCCTCCTCCTCCTCCCCCCCCTCTCCCTCCTGCCTCTTCCTCTCGTCGTGCAGGAGGGCCGTCTAGAGGTCTGCGAATGTCTCCGAGGGCTTCTGGGGGCCTCTGGAGGCCCGAAGGTGGCCGAGAGTGAGGCAGAGCATTGAAAGACCTGGATCCTATATCTTTGGACCTCCTTGCAGGAAGGACAGTCCTCCCTGCTCCCCTCTCTCCTCCTCCTCCTCCTCCTCCTCCTCCTCCTCCTCCTCCTCTCCTCCTCCTCCTCCACCTTCCACCTCCTCCTCCTCCTCCCTGCTCCCTCCTGGCTCCTGGCTCCTGGCTCCTCCTCCTCATTCTCCTCGTCCTCCCGTCGCAGAAGCCCCCCCCCCCTCCCCCCCGCCTGCCTCCCCTTCACCCTCCCTGCAGCAAATTCGGTCACAGGCCTCTCCGACGGGCGAAGTGGCGAAGCCCGTGTAACTGCAGTTGGAACCTTCCCAGTCGCCAGGGCGTTCAGGGACCATTAATGACGGGCCACATATCTCCCCACGTATCGAACCCATCACGCTGCTGCTTCAAATGGGCGGGATATGGCCATCCCGCAATCAAAAAATTCAAGGCTTGAGTCGATCATGTGGGCAGCAAGCTGGTGAACGAAATTGCCCACAGGGCATGGTTGCTCTGCGTATCGGCCCCGTCCTCGCGCACGCGAAGTGCGATGCACCAGCGACTGCGGCCCCGAATCTTCCAAACTGGGTGGTGTTTCAGCCTGGGGTTGTCTCTGCAGGCGCCGCCCCAAAATTCAGCCATCGGGTCAACCCCCACCCCCTCCCTGACCTCTATGGGGCGTGATCAATACAATGACGGGAACAATGACGGGAAAAACCTCGTGCCCAATCACGCACAATGACTTCGGACGTCGACACTGCACGCCATCTCGCCAGTTTCCGGAAACGTGCAGTCGCGCAGGTAGTTCTTAGTTCATTTTCAATGCGAATGTTGCGGGTGTCTCCCCCAAGATCCCATCGCCGCCAAGTCTCTGAATTCGTCGTGCGAGGCCATCTCATGTTTCCAAGCCGCACGTGCGAATCGTTGCACGTTCGCGCCATTGTGTTTTCCCCGTGCTCAGCCCTTCAGCAGCATAGAAATCAAAGCTGAAAATCCAGGGCGCCTCATCGCATCTACATCTTCCCGAATGTTCGGTTCAGACTCCTCGGGGTCGGGGGGCGTCTCTGGGTTGAGGCGCCGTTCCGCCCGCTCCCGCACTGCAGCGGAACAATTCGGGCCCGAACCAGCTTTTTCAACAAGCTGATTACCACACTTCCGCCTCAGGTCTAAGTCCTGTCCCCTCCCCCTCCTCATCCGCACCCCCCACCATATCTTTCCTTTGCACCCCGTTGAGGCGGTGCGCGCGCGGGGGGGGGGGGGGCGAGGAAGGTGGGGAGCAGAGCACGAGGTGGATTACTGGGATGACCCACGGGAGATGCAGAGGAGAAGCCTCGCGCACGGCCGCGCCGAGGGGCGATGCACTGCAGAAGGGGCCCCCTTCTGCAGCACGGCCCGCCGATGTCCCCCTCCAAGGGGGACATCGGCGAGGCAAGCCGAGAGGGGCCCTGGCCCCCCAAGGAGATCCCCCCCACCGTCATAGTTTACTATGTCCGTCGGGCAACTGGACGGCGGCCACGCAGCGTCCGGGCCGACCCGCCCAGTCGACGACGTCCTGAAGCACCGGCGGCGAGGCCGTAAGCGTCGAAGGCAACTCCTGGCCATCGCTCGGACGTCCATGCCCTGTGTTTTTCTCGGTTTCGTCCGTAGCTTCTTCGCCAAATGATCAAGGATGCTCCTAGATGGTCCTCGCCGAGGAAAAAATGCACACGTCCGAGCGATGCCAAGGACTCGCACGGCGCCCCCGCGGTGCCGCGCCGCTCCCGCCTTCACTGCAGCGCCCCAGGGGGGGGGCGGAAGCGCGGCGGCCCAGGGTCGGTGTCGCAAGGGGCAGCTGGGACTTCGGGTCGCAGGCCCCGCTCGCAGCGAAAGCGCGGACGGTGTGCCCCGTGCACGCTGCCCCCCCGCTGGCTGCGCAGCGCCATCCCCTCCAGGCCTTCCAGACCGCCCAGAGAGAGAGAAAGAGAGAGAGAGAGAAAACAAACAAAAAAACATAAAAAACCTTGCCTTCTGGGCAATTCAGCCCCCAGGCCATTCAGGCCATTCGCGCCATCCCCTCAGGCCATCCAGAGAGCGAGCGAGAGAGCGAGGAGGGGGGTAAACCCGAGACCCCCTCCTACAGGTGCGCCTGCCGAGCTTCCCTTTGCCCTCCTCGCGAGCGCGCGCGTGGGCCTCCTTGGCGGCCAGACGCTGCACGACCCTGCGCACTGCTCTCTGGCACCGTCTTCCCTCCTGTCCCCCTCCTCCGTCCCCCCCCCCTTTTCGTGGAACGACAAGAACAGCACAAGCATAAACTCTTGTACGTGCTCGAGGTTTCTTGGGACGGCGCCGGGCCCCCCTCCCCAGGGGCGGCGCCAGGGGCGCCGCCGAGGATGTCCACCGCCGGCCCCATACATCCGCGCAACGCTTCGAAAGTGTATGGTTGTATGCGTATGTTTGGCATTCGACAACCTCCCCCCCCTCCTCCCCATGCGTCCTGCCTAGTCAGTCTCCCTGCATGGGGCCCGAGCAGGTCGGGCTGGAAAGCCTCACAGCATCGGCGATACATCGGCGATGCGTCGGCGACGTCGGACAAACATCGGGCCGCAGATCGCGCCGCATCGCCAATCGCGCCGCATCGCCAATGCATTGGCGATGCGGCGCGGTAGTCCGAGGCTCGCCTACTGTGGGGGAGGATGAGAAAGAGGGATGGCAAAAGGGGAGGTTCGCGAATCAGCTGCGTGTAACTAGATTCCCAAGCGCTTCTCGGCGCCGAAACTTGACCGCGTATCGAGGAAGAGGCCTGGCGGCGCAGACGAAACCAACGGCGTGCAGCACGTTTATCACCCCACCCTGTCCCAATCCCCCCTTACGTCCGACCTGGCTGCGGCCCCCTCTTGGAGGCCCCGCTCGCTCTTCCCCCCCGGTCCTCGTAGAACTGCCCGGTGTAGATGGAACCGTCCGTGCGCAGGAGCTCCCCGTTGCCGTTGGCCCTGCCCTCCCGGAACTGGCCCCTGTACTTCGAGCCCTCTGGCCACGTCATGACGCCGGGCCCCTCGCGCATGCCTGGCTGCCAACGCGTGGGGCGTCGTTTCGTCGGAGGCGGCCAGCGGGGGGAGGGAGTAGAAACGTCGGCATAAATATTAACTTTTAACGGTCCGCGCGGACCGCGCAAAATTCATGCATATGCAGAAAAAGACAGAGAGAGAGAGAGAGAGAGGGAGAGAGACAGAGAGACACAGAGAGAGAGGGAGAGAACAAACATAGACAGAACTGCGTGCAAATCACATCGCCGCAAACGCCGTAGCCTCACAAAACGTCGCAGAAAAACAGCCCGGCTTCTCGCCAGGCTGCGGAAGAATTGTCACTATCTTGCCAGAGTTGCGGCAGGGCCTCCCCGCCCCCGGCGGCCCGGACAGCGTGGGCAAAGACTGGCTCAATCCAACAAGTTCGGGGGCGCCCCCGCTTTCGCTTGAATGTCTGTGCTGCCAGATTGCCTGGACAAGGGCGTAGCGTGAGGCATCAGGTCGGATCATCAGCTGGCTTTCGGACAGTATGCTCTAGGAGCAACGCCTGACGATTCAGCAAGGCATTGCTCAATGGGGCAGCGCCTGCTTGCTGCAGAAAACAAGAACTCCTTACGTGGCTAATGTTTGAATGAGGTGTGCGGAGCGTCTGCCGCAGACATCCCGCGTGGAAAGCGTCGAGCTCCTTCGTCTCCGGCTGGTTCACGAAGGCCGTATACAGACAATAGAGAAGTTTACTGAGAATACAAGCGTTGAACATCTCAAGTTCCCTTTGTTGCGTCAGCGTGGCATGGCCCCACAGTCACGTCAACTTGTCGAATTCTGCCCGCGCCGCGCCGAACCGGCGGGGGGGTTCAGGGCAAATCTTTCCCGTCGCTCGACATCCGGCTGCCTACATATTGAGTGCTCTCTTCTTGCGGCACCCAGGAACCGTCTGGCGTCGGAATATGCGCACCGCATCCAACGGCTAGAACTTCCAGCTTGCGCCGTGAAACTGCAGCCCGTACTGCGACCCGTTGTTTTTCGATGCTGCGCATGCATACCGTCGAAGTATCGGACTCGCCAAAAAACGAGCAGTCTGTCGTTGGCGTAGACCAATGTATGTACCGCCTGCGAGAGGTGCAGCACTGGTCCAGCCTCCTCCTTCGCGTCTCGCAGCAACACGGTCATCGCGATCGCGAACAGGAAAGGCGACAACGGGCAACCATGGCTGATAACAAATTCCTGCGCCCTCGGCGCCGAAGTCGAACCGGCATCCCAGACACAAACATGTCGCTCCCGGTTAATCGCCCGCACCACCTCCACGAACTTCGTGGGCGCGCCAAACCTGAATAGAGTTGATGCCAGAGACTCCGGGGAGACGCTGTCGAAGGCTTTTGCCCCAGCGACAGCCAGCAGGACGACTTGCCCGCCCTTCTCGGCCCAAATTTCGCTGGACCAAGGAAATAGCGTTCGCTGTTCCTTGCTTGGACATGGAGCCGAACTGAGTGCACTATGTTCGGCCCTCGGCCCCGCCCGTTTTCAGCCGGCCAAGTAACACTTCAGCGGAAATTATGTAGCCAGCGTCTGTCAAGGAGATGAGGCGGTAGTTTTCGCACTGGGCCACGTCTCCCTTCTTGAAGATTGTTGCGGCTAGCGCTTCGTGCCCTGTGCTGGAACTGCTTTGTCAACTCAGCATTTGTTGCACAGCTCGACAGCCCACCTGCAGGCAGGCGCCCCAGTTTCGCAGACCGTCTTCCAAAACTCAGGCGGGATATCGTCATTGCCAGAAGCTCTCCTCAATTTCATCCGAGCAGCCGCGCCAACGACTTCGCCTTCGGTAATAGGGCCACACGGCACAGCCAGCTCGTCGCCAAGGGGGTCCCAGCTTGGCGCTGCGCTTGTCGCTCGCGCCGCCCAGGTACTCTGCCATTGTGTCGGCGCGTTGGGCGGAATCAACAAGACGCCCTTCCATGTCGGCAAACTGGCCATGCTGGGCGTGCGTTACTTTCCTCGGGGCGCGGATCGGCGCCCAGTCGCAGGAGGCGAGCTGGCCATCGAACCAATCCGAAAGGTCTGCCCAGACGGAATCTCTCACAACTCGGTGCAAGTGCCGCTCTTCCTGCGCCATCCCGTACGCCAGAGGGTGCGCGCGGACCATGCAAAGTTTATGTGCACGCATATGTTCCTTTTACAAGACCAGAGGGCGGTAGAGCCACCCGCGTGATGAGCACCGCTGCTGACGAGGCCCCCTCCGCGCAGCAGGAGCATCGAGTGAAGGGATCAGCCAGGACAAGGCTGCACTGCAGCCGAGAAAGGGTTAGGCCGCTGAGTAGGCGCCGCAAGTTTTTTGGGGGGTCGTGGTGCCTCTCCTCCTCCTGATTCCTGATTCCTGTCGGCTTTGGTGTCCTCAGACCTCCTCCTCCTCCTCCTCCTCCTCCTCCTCCTCCTCCTCCGGCGGGGAGGGGGCGGGCGCCAGGATGCCCGGGACCAGCGGCCGCGACCTCTTGTGCTCTTGTCCTTTCCTTCCCCCCACGTCCCCCCCTTTATTTGCCTAGCCTGCCCTGCCCGCGGTCGACCTTCCGGCGTCGCCCTTCCCTTTGGTTGGCATGATCCCCGATTCCTCGATCCTCCATCCCTCCTCGATCCTCCATCCTCGATTCCACTTCGATCCGCGATCCTCAAAGGGCGATTGGGGGTCGATGCATCCCCCGCTATGCCCAATCCCCCCCCCTATCGCTGCCCCCTGACAGGAGCTGCCGCCCCAGCTGGGGGCTCGAAACGTCGGCCCCGGCCCGGCCCTGAGCGCTCTGGCCAGTGCCTGGTCGAGGCGGGCCGAGCCGTGGCGACGAGGCGCCCCCCCCCCCCGGAGGCGCAGGAGGGGCCCCATCTCCTCCCGGACCGCCCTCCTCCGTGGTGACCAGCGCTTTCGCAGGTCGGAAACACTGAAGGGGCCCTCGGACACACAAAATGAATACACACAGATCACAGGATTCTCCATGTTTCCTTACATGTTCTTGGTTTTTTTGTCTTCCCCCCACTTCCCATATTTTTCCGATATTTTCTGGGGAATCGACGATTACTTGTGTCTGTGCGTATTTTCCCTCCTGAAACACGCTTGGACAAGCGCGTTCCACTGCTCGCAAAGTAACCACTCGTGAATGGCCTGAATCCGCTGCGGGGGGTCTACGATACATCACATGGAAGAAGACATTTTTGTTCGAACGTTTGCGAGTAGGCACTTTGCGAGTAGTGGAGCGCGCCCGGTGAACGCGGTCGGATGGGGGTCCCGCTGGAACGGGAACCTCTCCTGGGGTGTGACAACCCGCGCCCAGATCCATAGCCAGTCCTCCTCCCTCAGCCCCCGCTACGGATATGGGTATGTGTGTGCGTGTGTGTGTGCGCGTGCGCGTGCGCGTGCGCGTGCGCGTGCGCGTGCGCGTGCGCGTGCGCGTGCGCGTGCGCGTGCGCGTGCGCGTGTGCGTGTGCGTGTGCGTGTGCGTGTGCGTGTGTGTTTGTTCGTTCGTCAAACGCGGACTGGGGATCGTGGATGTGGCGCGTGGGCGCCAGGTGCACGGATCGGGGGAACGCCGCCCCCCGAAACGTGGCGCCAAACGCCGCCCGAGCTGGCGACGGCGCGCGCCAACTCTGCACGGAAGCGGGACCCGTCGCCCTGCAGGCAGAATTGGTTGCACAGGACACGCGGCAGGACACGAGACTCTTCGGAGATGGACAGACCCCCCTTCAGTGAAACGTGGTTTAGTGAAAACGACCCGAAGCCCAAACCTGGCGGGCGCGAGCCTGGAAAATAACGGCCACGGCGCCCTCTCGAGAACCGAAAACGGACAATTCACTTATCGACGTGTCACTGGCTGGGGGTTCAAGCGTCTCGACGCGCCAGTCTGCACGCCGGGCTCCGTTGACGTACTCCCCCTCGAAAGTGGTGCCGTCCAAGCAATGCTCCTCTGCCGGCGGCGCTTGGACGCGCCGCCGCGGGAAGCACGCGCCCTGCCAATGGCCATCGCCGAGCCGCGAAGGCGTCGATACAACCACCGCCATGCCCGGCCAGGGCCATCGAAATCCGGGCGTTGCAACTTTTCCAAAACGATCGTTTTCGCCCAAATTCGGGCCACGAGACCTCACAGATCGACGCGGCTCGAAAAATTACGCAGAAATGTGGCTTCTAGGACTCCAGGCGTGATTGTTCGCAGTGCTGCGTTTTTGTTCGCATCGTCAGGTCTCAGAGGAGACCAGGCGGCTCTCTACATCACATCCTGGGACCCGAGGAGGGAATCTAGAATCTAGATATCGACCTGGAGGCGGAGAGGGATGCAATAGGCCAGAGCAGGAATGCGGCTCGGAGCAGGAGCAGCAGCGGCAGTTGCAAGTGAAATCATGATCAGGACGAGCAGCCGAGAAGGACAGCGGGACGGAGACGGGGGAGACGGACGTCGGAGGAGAGCAGCCGAAGGCAAGAAAGCAAAGTTGGCAACGATGCCTCGGCCTGCGACCCGCTCGAGTGGCCCATCGTCCGCCCCCGTGGACGGGGACTGCCCCCGCCCCGGCATCACTGCCCGCGTGCACGCCCCGCTCACGCTGCTTCCGCAGCAATCTGCCGGAAGCCGTGGGGGCAGGACACCGTGTCCGCTGGGAGCCGAAGATGGGGGCGACTCGCCCAGGGGGGGGGGCAGCACTGAAGGGGCCCCAGGACACACAAATCTACACACACAAATAACAAGATTCCCGGCTTTTCCTATATACTTTGTGGTTTTTCGTCTTCCCCCCCACTTCCCATATTTTCCCATATTTTCTGGGGGGTCAGCGATGAATTCTGTCTGTGTTTTTTCCCTCCTGAAGCACACTTATTCAGGGGCGCCGATGCTCCATGTGTTCGGCGATGCTTCCTGGCGAATCGCTCCTGTCGTCCGGTCCGACCCGCTCCCGACCCGTCGGCTACACGCAAGAGTGACCCTGGGTAAGAGTGACCTTTGGTGCGCGGCTCTTTGGGGGCCGCGGGGAAGCCACACAAGAGCGCTAGAGGCTAGCATCGCATCGCGTTCGGCGATCGGGGGACCCAACTGGGCCCGCAACAAAGGTCACTCCGGCGAAAGGTCACTCTTACGTCCAGACGGACCCGGCCGCACGCAGGAGCCGGGCCCGGGCCCGGGCAGCAGGCGGCCCTCGGCGCGCCGCCCGACGACCGCAGCACACGCGGCGCGACCCGCAGCGGCCCGCGCCCCCAGGCTTGTGGCCCCCAGCCGGTCCCCCGGAGGCCGCGCAAGAAGTGCCACTCAAGCGACCCTGACCTTCCAGAGAGCTATTTTTTAGCACTGGAAGCCAAAAAAACCTAAAACACTAGACGAAACAGCCTGAAAACAAGACGTAGAATAGCTCTGGGATAGGTTTTCACGTCGGGTGCTATGTTTTTGCCCTGCTGGATGGTCAGGGCAGGCTTGGCCCCCAGCCGGCCCCCCGGAGGCCGCGCAAGAAGTGCCACTCAAGCGACGTGGCCACTCCTGCGGGTTCGGGGGCGGCGAAGAGGGGAATGTCCAAGAGCGGGGGGTGCAGATCATGACCGGCGGCATGTGCGCGGCCCAGCGGGGGGGCCAGGGACGTAATGAAATAGGAAGAGGCGCCACGAAATCTGGGGAAATATCATGGCCCACGCCATGATATCCACCCCCCCCTGGTCATCACCCCCCTCTTTGCCGCCCCCGACGGGTGGCCGGGCCTCGATCCCTCCCCTGTTCTCGGGCCATAGCCGGGAGGCCTCTGGCGGCCGTCCGGGACGATTCGGGCACCCCCGGAACGCCCTCGGCGAAACCCAGCCGCGGGGGGCGCCGCCCGAGGCAGGGACACTTCTTACTTTGCGGCGAGCTGGATCCAGCAAGCTGTCGGCTAGCAGTGGGAAGCATCGGAAACAAATTATGCACACAGGAGCAGGAAGGCAGCAGCGAAGGAGGCCGAGGCAAGGAAATCGTGCGCAGGCGGGTTCACGGCCCAAGAGGGCGCCCGCGGGCGCGGCACAATCCTTGCCCTTGCCGTGCCTCACGTCGTCCCGCCATTCGCTCTCGTACCTCTCGGAGCGGGCGGGGGACGGAGGGGAGGAGGGAAAGAAGCGGGAGTGAGGGAGGCAGCTAGGACCAGGGGGCGCAGCGGCGCCGCAACAGAGCGTGAAACGGGGTGGGCGGGCGGGACGAGCGGTCCCACCCTGGAGCCCACGACGGCAGCAATCGGGCGACACGCGCGCGGCCGAGCAGCGAGGAGGGGGACGCGGGGAGCCCGACTGTGCCTCACCCCCGCGAGGCCGAGTTTGCGGTTGCGCCCCACCCCCCAATTGAAAACCGATCACTGGAGGCCCCTTTTTGGGGGGCTTCCTGGGGACTTCTGGAGGCGCCGTGGAGGCCTCTTGCAGCGGCTCTGGCGGAGTTCTCGGGCCGCCGCGCCGTGAACCACGCGCGGCCTCCCCAATCGACCGGGCCACGGTTTATAGGATGCTTCAGAAGGCGTCATGGGGTCGCCTTGGGCCGTCATGGGGTCCACTCGGGTCATATCGGGGCCCTGTTGGCCCGCATTGGGGTTACCTTGGGCCGCCCGCGTGCACTTGCGGGTCGTTGGCGGGCGATGTCCAGCGTCTCCTGGGCTACTCGGACGCTTCGAAGATCATGCGAAACTAAACATCAAACGAAACCGGTAAACATATAATGTGTTCCTGCGTTCGGGCAGCAACTTGGTGATATTACTTGGACCGTGCTCGAGCACGCGGTCCCTTTTGGGAGCAATTTTGGGCCCCCCCTTGACCGTGTTGGGCTTGATGGGTGAACCCAGCAGGCGCGTTATATGCAGCCCGGAAGCCACGGGGAACGCCAAGGGGGTGCTGTCTTTGGGGGGGGCAGGCGATTGAATCACACGAAGCACGCGTGCCACAAATCCTACAATTACGGTTGAGGAACACTTGGGGATGGCGATGGCGCCAGGCTCCGAAAGAAAATGCGCGAGTGCTGCGCACGCTGGCGAGCGACCATGACGAAGCACCGACGAATCGCAACCCTCCGCGAACTCGTCGAACAACGTCATCTGGCTCGGCACTGCCGCCAGAATCGACGGCAACGTCGAGCAGGGCGACGAGGGTAATGCGTCCGACGCGCACGTCGACGAGTACGATGAGTTCGACCACGGATTTTCTGGACCACCTTACTTACTCCCCATACCCTCCTGAGGCGGGCCTGTCAGACCCTCCTTAGGCGGACACATCGGATAGGGGTCCGTGGGGGTTTTGGATTGCCGACTTCCCAGACCTCCTGAACTTCCCCTAAACAGACCTCCCGGGCTCCCTGAGGCGAATTCTTTGGATCCCAAATGAGGGTGGGCCCCCTTCCCCCTTCGATGAGGGCGCGGATCCACTCCGACGTCGGCGGAGGGCGGACTGCCGACGAGGCACAAACCTCAATTAATCACACTGCGACAAGCTCTCTCTTTCTCCTGCCATCCTAGTCCTTCTCGTTCTCCCCACCCTCCTCTGCCGCAATTTCATCAGCTTCCTCCTCATCCTTCTGTCATATTTCCCCCCTCGCCCTCCGTCGATACGGACAGCCTAAGAAACTCGCCGGGATCCAGCGCAGCGACTTTCTGGGTCTCCAAGAACCGCGGCCCCAATGGGGCACAGGCGTTTGAGATATTTCATTGTTTATTCTTGGAGAGCATGCTATTCAACGTTGGTCGCGGCGAATGCAATCGAAGACACGGTCGGGACTGCCGGCGGGCTGCATCGGTGCAGCGCGAACTCGCGCAGTGGGGAAGAAGCGGGCGGCCGCAGACGAAGAAACGGGGAGGGTCCCTCCTCCCATCCGTGCCTCTGCCCTCCGCATGTCCACCATTTCGGCACACCTCTCACACGGTTCGTAGCCCCATAGGGAGCTCCACCGAAGGCTCCGATGGGAGGGTTCGCATGGCACCACCGCACCCGATCCGGCCCAATAGGGAGCTCCACCGAAGGCTCGCATGGCACCACCGCACCCAATCCAGCACACCCCTCACACGGTTCGTGGCCCCATAGTGAGCTCCACCGAAGTCGAAGGTTCAGCGGGAGGGTTCGCCGCATGGCACCACCGCGCCCAGTTCGGCACACCCCGCACACGGTCCATAGCAAGCTCCACCGAATGCTCCAGCGGGAGAATTCGCATGGCACCACCGCACCCACTTCGGCACACCCCCTCACACGGTTCGTGGCCCCATAGGGAGCTCCACCGAAGGATCCAGTGGGAGGGTTCGCATGGCACCACCGCACCCAGTTCGGCACACCCCTCACACTGTTCGTGGACCCAGAGGATGCTCCACCGAGGGTTCCAGTGGGAGGGTTCGCATGGCATCACCGCGCCCAAATCGGCACACCCCTCACATGGTTCATGGCCTCATGGGGAGCTCCACCGAAGGCTCCAATGGGAGAGTTCGCATGGCACCACCCCTCACACGGTCCGTGGCCCCATATGGAGCTCCACCGAAAGCTCCAGTGCGAGGGTTCGCATGGCACCACCGCGCCCACTTCGGCACACCCCTCACACAGTTCGTGGCCCCATAGGGAGCATCACCGAAGGCTCCAGTGGGAGGGTTAGCATGGCACCACCGCACCCAAATCGGCACAACCCTCACACGGCTCGTGGCCCCATAGGGAACCCACCGAAAGCTCCAATTGGAGAGTTCGCATGGCACCACCCCTCACACGGTTCGTGGTAGGGAGCTCCACCGAAAGCTCCAGTGGGAGGGTTCGCATGGCACCATCGCACCCAGTTCGGCACAACCCTCTCACGGTTCGTGGCCCCATAGGGAGCTCCACCGAATGCTCCAGCGGGAGGGTTCGCACTTCGGCACACCCCTCACACGGATCGTGGCCCCATAGGGAGCTCGGGAAGGTTCGCATGGCACCACCGCACCCAATCCAGCACACCCCTCACACGGCTTGTAGCCCATAGGGAGCTCCACCGAAAGCTCCAGTGGGAGGGTTCGCGTGGCACCACAGCGCCCACTTCGGCACACCCCTCACACGGTTCGTGGCCCAATAGGGAGCTCCGCCGAAGGCCCCAGTGGCAGGGTTCGCGCTGCACCACCGCACCCGATCCGGCACACCCGTCACAAGATTCGTGTCCTCATAGGGAGCTCCGCCGAAGGCTCCAGTGGAAGGGTTCGCATGGCACCACCGCGCCCAATTCGGAACACCCCCTTCACACGGTTCGTGGCCCCATAGGGAGCTCCACCGCAGGCTCCAGAGGGAGGGTTCGCATGGCATCACCGCGCCCAATTCGGCACACTCCTCACACGGTTCGTGGCCCCATAAGGAGCTCCGGGAAGGTCCGCATGGCACCACAGCGACCATTTCGGCACACCTCTCACACGGCTCGTGGCCCCAGAAGGAGCTCCACCGAAACCGGTACCCACAATGCGGTATTCGCGGCTGCAGATGGTTTGGTTCTTCGTCAGGCTGATTCAATGCAAGCGCGATGATACGGTTGTAGGGACACGAGGCGGTCTGGCAAGTCGGCCGCCCCGAGTCAAGATGTGTTGTGCAAGTGAACAGCCGAGGACCAGCGAGCAAGACGCGCCGATCTACTGCGTGGAACCACGCACGTCTCTGAGAGAAGTCGTGGAAGCATGCCAGTTCTCAACGATCTGATCGCGACTCCACGGTCAGCCTCCTTCGCGCAGCTGCTCTGTGGCAGCCTGCTCAGAACTCGTCGCCGTAGCCCTCTTCCTCGCCCTCGCCCTCCGCGGTCTCGATGCCCACCTCCTCGTAGTCCTTCTCCAGCGCCGCCAGGTCCTCGCGAGCCTCGGAGAACTCGCCCTCCTCCATGCCCTCGCCCACATACCAGTGCACGAACGCGCGCTTCGAGTACACGAGGTCGAACTTTTGGTCGATGCGCGAGAAGACCTCTGCGATGGGAGTGGAGTTGCTGATCATGCAGCAGGCGCGCATGACTTTGGCCAAGTCGCCGCCTGGGACGACTGTGGGCGGCTGATAGTTGATGCCGCACTTGAAGCCCGTGGGGCACCAATCCACGAATAAACACCCACGTGCGGGCCGCGCCGCGGCCTCGGGTCGGCCCTCCGGGGGGGATCTCGTTGACGCAGTAGAGACCCCCACTGCGTGCTGGATCTGTTACGGGGCGCCCATCCCGTAGAACCCCTTTCTGGATTCTGTAGCAGTTCGGAGCAGGCCAGGAGCTGTAGCGGCAAACCAGCGCGACGGTCCGCACATGGGCATTCCTGTAAGCCGGAGCTTTATAAGGCGCTCCCACATGTACGTCGGCTGGCCCACCCACCTGTCAGGCTGCGACCCGCGGGCCGGTTGAATTCCCTGCATGTCTTTGGCCCCCCTGCCACTGCCTACGCGGTAGCACGAGCACCGAGAATCCCGAAGCTGGGAACACCCCGGGCACCTCGTCAGCATATGGCCCCGGTCAGCAGACAGTCCCTCGTGCGAGGTACTTCTCCAGCCCAGAGCCACGCCCGCCAGAGCCTCGTTAGCCGCGTCAACCACGTGCCGTTGGCGCCCTTCCACCCCAGAGGGTAGCCCGCGAAACCTCCGGCGAGCCGGAGGGGGCGGGAGAGGCTGCCACAGCGCCGTGGGATCGTTCCCGCTCCCCGCCAGACTTTCGTCGGTCGGTGGGGTTGGACTTTCGGCAGCAGTGCGGCAAGGACATGGGCACAGCCACCTCCGAGCCTCCCCCTGCCTGGCCGCGGCCGTAGCCGTTGCCGGGGAGCCCAATCCACGAATTGAATAGTGCGCTTGGTCTTTATAATAGCTACCGCAGCGTTCACATCCTTGGGCACTACGTCTCCGCGGTACAGTACATCATACAACATGCTGAGCAGGAGCTGAAAAAGGTCTCGAGGACCACTCCCGGTGCACTTGAGCTCTGCCGCCACGGGCAGGTCGACAAGGTAGGTCAGTAACCGCGTCGTCGTGCATCAGCCGGGTCCCGCAGCAGCGTGGAGACCGGCCGCCCAAAAGCAGCGACGTCACGTAGAAAAAACATGCACTGCGGGTAGGCCCCGCGGGGCCTCGGCGCCTCCGAAGGCCGGCGCGGCAGGCCCCCGCCCCTCGCGAGGGGCCGTGCCGCCGCGGCCGACGGCCCACAGCATCGGATATCGAAGTGGTAGAACATGCATCCTCAACGAAATCTGCGTGCAAGCACCCTCGTGCCCGGATCGATGAAGACGAAAGTGGCGCAATGATAAAAATCCTTCGCTGACAGCATATATGCGAGGAAGATCCAACCAGCCGGCCGTTGCAAATGGCGCTCGCGATCCCGTAGGGGTTGCTATGCAGGCCCCCGGAGTATGTGAAGAAAATACAACCAGACGACTGTGGATAATGCGCCCAAAATGTCGACAGTGATGCTGCGCGGGCCCCCCGCAGGCGCGAGGGATCACTCCCCGTCCGTGCGGCGCTGGCGCTCGCGGCCACCGCCTCTACCTTTGCCACTCGCGCCCCCCTTGCCGCCGCCCTTGCCTCTCAGGAAGCGCTGCCACTCGGCAAGTGACTCCCTCCACCAACGGTCCGTCCTCCGAGCGCTGCGGCACCAAGCAAATGCTCTTGGGTTTGCTGCCGCACGCTGCGGTCTGATACAAATCACGGACATGAGATGACGACGCATTCGGGCTGAGTGTGAGCGTCCAGCACCACGGCCTCTTGTCGTCCTTGAGCGGCTCCTTGTGCTTGGCCTGCAGGCGGAAGATGAGGCGGCCCATTTCCTCCATCGACGCGTCGGCGAGCGACGCCGTGGCCGCCCTGGCGGCCAGCCAAAACTCGGGAGGCTGCCCATCATGGGGATCGGCCTTGTACGCGCCCCGGAGGGCCACGATCAGCCCGCTCCAAACGAGCAGACGCTGCGGCTGGCCACTGGGGTGCGGCGTGTTGGCGGTGTCGGGCTCATTAGCCTTCCACTTGTCTCGAATGCCCTGGATCTTGTCCTTGAGGGACTGCTCATACACCAAGAAGACCAAGTTTGTGTTGTCCGTGACGGCCTGGATGGCACGGTCGTGCGAAATGCCCAGCCGGACGACCGCCGACAGCACCTCCTCGACAGTGCGCAGCGGCGCACGGTGGCCGCCTCCTCGGGCGGCACCCTGCCCAGGGGCCGCAGGCGCCACCCCGAGCTGCGCCAGCGTGTTTCTGCCATCAGGGTGGGCGGTCACCAGCGGCCTCTGCAGAACACAACCCAGATCCAACGTCTGAGGGACAGATACGTGTGAAGATGCATATCCAAAAGGGCAATAGTAATGTCAACGGACCAACATACTCGAAACGGACAAGCCGGGAACCAGCATCGCAAAACAAGGATGCCACCACACACTGCATCAGATATTTCCCCGAAGATAGCCATCTATCTTCTCCTCCCCCTCCTCCCCCTCGGGTCCTCTGGGAAGCCGATGATGGTGAAATTGACGACGTGAATGATGTGATAGTAGACATGGTAGTCCAACATACGCGAAACGGACATCAATCTTCTCCTCCTCCTCCTCCTCCTCCCCCTCGGGTCCTCTGGGAAGCCGATGATGGTGAAATTGACGACGTGAATGATGTGATAGTAGACATGGTAGCAGTACAAACTCCAAGAGAGGCAGAGACGTAACCAACACACTGAAGATGAGCGAGATGGTGCACATGACGAAGTAAACGAGCTCGTAAGAGTGGTGAATAACTGGACAGATAAAAGAGCACCACTGGAATTACCCAAGTACAAGGAGCACCCTCTAGAATGCCTTGAGCACATAACGTACACATAACGAACACAGCGTACTGGTAGAGGCTAGATGGGGTCCCTCTCAATCTGGTCGTAGCTAGCGGCATACAGGAAGTCCCACCCGCCCCCTGCGTTTACGACAATCCGTGGCGTGACCAGCGGCAGCTCGTACAGAGGGGAAGCGCATGTCACACATGGTGCAACGATGTGTCCACGTCGCCATCACCTCTGCTGTGAAAGCCCGCGCCTGCTTCGTCTTGACATGAGCCTGCCGCACCTCGTACGGCGCCAACTTGCACACGTACCTGTGCGTCGGGCTCTTCTGCTGTCTCGCAGTACGGGCACCTGAACCCCTGCTCGCGACGTCGCACAGACGCTGCCGAGGCTGGACATTGGGCAATCGTGGGACGTGCAAGCTTCACCTTGGCGGCTGTCGGACCCGTCCTTTTGGCATGTTCGGTCCGGCGCTGCGAGATGAACTCCCCGGGCAGGCGCGCGCGGTCGGTAGGAACCCGCACGCGGGGACCTTTCCCTCGAAGTCGACGGCGGGGCTCCTTGCAGACCTTCTGGTGATGCACCATGTTGCGGAAGAATCGGCCGCGCCGGTCGCACTGCGCCGGCTGCCGCTGGGTGGCCGCCTGCCCGGTGCACCCCCGCAGGTGGACGTAGATGCTCTTGGTGGGGTACTCGTTCGAGCACTTGGGACATCTTAACAGGCCAGTCTGGGGATTGCGTACCACGTTCTCCAGCATGGCAGTCACCTCCTCCGCCGAATTGTCCTGCGAATGAAGTTTCACCCAGGTATCTCCAGCAGCAGCGCGAGCGATCTCGGCGCACGCGGCATCACTCAGGCGGCGCCGCTCGGCGCCCCTCGTCGGCCCAGCAACAGCGACACCCTTCCAGGCCGTCGGCCAATGCTCCTCTGGGATGTCGGTGTGCCCCATCACCTTCGTGATCCAGGACCAGTATGTGTCGATCAAATTGTGCCCCGCCGCCGCGGTAGAGGTCTCACTGCGACGCATGACGAAAGCTGAGCCCAGGACCTGCGCCTCAACGCGCGTTGCCGGGTACCGTCCGAGATGACCAACGTATCCAAGCTGCCTCCGTGCCACGTACTCCTCTGGAGTCCGAAGCCCAGTGCGCAAACGCAAATCGGTCTGCGCGAGTCGCCCTTCCATGCGCCGAAGGCCGCCGGAGTCAGGGCCCCACGTGATGCAACGGACAATGCGATTAAGGAAAACGGTGTAACGGCGCAACTCTGTCTTAGAGAACGGTCAAACCCCGGCCCCATAGAACAAGCAAGCAACAACAATTGCCTCCACGATCCGACCCATCTGGCGCGCCGAGATTGACAGACGCGGCAATTGGCGGCGGACTCGCCCCCACAACAAACCAGCCAAACGAAGACGTTCGTCTGCGCCCTTCCGCGCGCCGCCATCCACGTCGAAACACACGCCGAGAAGCTTGGCCCAGCTGGCGTAGCCGTCTGGCACCGCGTCGCCGTGGCGCCCCACACGCAGGCGTTCCCACTTGTCTGGGTGCGTGGTCTCGCCGCACTCTGCTAGAGTGGCCGTGATAAGCGCTTCGTCGCCGGCAGCCCTGCTAAACAGCGCGCCCGCGGACGTGTCATCAGCGAAGCCAAGAATACGAAGCATGTACTCCAGAACGGCATCATCGTCTGCGCGAGGACGCCGCGGGGCGCCCGTGCGAAGGCACGGGCACCCCTGGTTATCGAGACTGGAGAGCGCGGAGGGCAGCGTTGTGAACCACGTTGTACACTACACACGATATGGGGCATCCCTCACGTAAGCCTCGGAGGAGGCAGAAGTTGGACGAGTCGCCTTGCTAGGTCCGAACTGTGTAGAGCGTCGTGGAGTGCAGTCGGCGCAGCAGCTCGATAACGTGCTCTGGCATACCCTCGCAAGCAAGGACCGCCCAGCATAGTTGCCTGCTGGTGTTCGGGTGCGCTTTCTTGATGTCCGCCAGGAGAAGGACGAAGTGGTCGTCGACCTCTGGGCCGAGCCGTCGGGCCGACTCCTCCAAGACGATCCGCGTGATCATGGCGGCGTCCCGGGTAGAGCGCCAGGAGCGGAAGCCGAACTGTTCGTTGACCAAGATATCACGGCGCTCTGCCCAGTCAGCCAAGCGAAGGGCCAGCGCACGGGCAAGGATTCGAGAAACAATAGATAGTAAACAAATACCGCGGTACTTATCGAGATCACTGCGCGATCCCTTGCCCTTGTACAAGAGATGGATCACACCCTTCAACACCGCCTCCTCCTGCCGCGCGTCATCTTCAAGGTCCCACATGCGCCGTGCGAGCAATCTCACTAACTGCCGCGCCTGATCCCCGCCATGCCTGATCATGTCAATCGCCACCTCGTCCGCCCCCCCCGCAGACACGCGCGTGGCCCTGATGGCGTTGTCGATTTCCGCTGCCTCCGGGCGCGCAGCCAGGGCGTCGTCGACAGGGCGCTGGGGTAACCTGTCCACAACAGTAGGAAGGTTGGGCAGAGAATTCGGTTGCCCGCCGATGTTAATGAAGTGGTCGCGGGCCTCCTCCGGGGTAAACGGGTCTGACTCCTTCCAAGAGAAGCCCTGCAACCAGACGCCGAGCTCACGTAATGAACGATACATCTTGCCCGTGTCATGCTGCGCGATGGCATGCTCCACCTCCTGGCACGCAGACTCGATGAAGGCGGCCTTACATTGGCGCTCTTGACGCTGCACAAGAACACGCATCTGCTTGTGTTCCGTTCGAAGGGTTGTCTCTCTGGCGGGGTCGTCGCACAAGCGAATCTCCTCCCACTTCTGCTCGAGTTCCTTTTCGCCCCGCCCGCTGCGTCTCACGGTGAGCAGCGAGGGCTGGAACCCCAGAAGTGCGGGCATCACGTCCCAGCACGGCCCCGCCCGCCTCCCAGTAGGTCCGTGAAACTGTCGACCACGAAGGAGACGGCGGTAGGCGACCTGACTCGACGTTCTCCGCGACACGGCGGGTAACCTCAGCCGAGAACTCGCCCCGCTTCTGTTCCGCACTCGCTGAAGGCCCTCGCATGCGATCCGTCCGCAAACGAGCCGGCGTGGACTGGGGCGACCCCTCACCAGGGCTGGCGCGGAACGAGTATCCAGGGCGCCCCAACAGGTTCACTGTGACCGCCTTGCCGAAGTGGTCCGAAATTCCACAAGCAAACGTGGCCAGGCCATGCCATCTTGCATATCCCGTCGGCAGGGCGGTGAGGAAGAAATCGTTTTCGTAATAATTCTTCGAACGAGGGTCCCTCCAAGTACCCCGTTTACCCACCCGCGCATGGATGTGCGAATCGACATGATGCAAATGCCATGGGGCGGCCCACTCCTGGAGCTGATAAGCTAGACGACTGGACGGCTGTCGTAACAGGTGTCCTCCCACCCAGTCCCAACCCGCGGCATCCTTTCCAAAGTGGCCGTTCCAGTCGCCTCCAGCAAGCACGTGGCCACCAGCAGGAAGACGCGCAGACAAGCCATCCCCGTCCTCGAAGAAAACGGTCCGATCAGCTGCATGCTGCTGCGTGGGAGCATATTCACTAACACATTGTACATGACACCATGAATACGAATAGATATCGCCAACCACCGTCGGGACTCGGGCGCCCAGAAGCGGCGGGGCCCAGTGGCACGCCATGCCTTCGCACACGCTTGGCCCATGAGAGTGCCAACGTGGCCAGCCATAACAATAACAAGCTCTTCCACCACCAGCGCGCGGACGACTTCATATGGACAATGCACGTCAGAGAGGAAGGCAAGGTCCCAGCGGCCATGACGTGCTTGCAAGACGACCTCCCGGAGCTTGAACTTGTTGTCCCATCTCCACGGGGCCAGATGCTGAACGCTGAGGGCTGCAAGTCTGAATTCTTCGTGAATTAGATGCTGGTGGGCCTGTCGGTAAACCCGGCGCTGCTGCGCGTAGCGGTCGTTCGCCAATAATTTAACCTCAAACCCGTCGGCAGCGAAAGAACTTGCACCGCAGGGCTTAGTGCGCGCGGCTGAGCCGCGCCCGGGCGTGCCACCCCTGAACACACCGCAGGCTCGCTCCACAATCAGGGGGACGGCGAAACTGTAGTACTGTTAGCCGTCACACTCCACGCTGTTGTCGACGAGGCTGAAAGATCCAAGAGTGTGACGTTACCCATGGGGACCACTGGCGGTAGCACTCCCCCCATGATCATACAACAGGCAATAGACTTGCCATGGCGAGGGTCGCACTTCACGAACATGGATGCGGGCTCGAAGACAGACATGGTGATCTCCGCCACCGACAGCTGTTCATGGTACGCTTTTTCCGCCGAGATCACCGGCGCATAGCTCGAGAGCATGAAGTGAATCCGCGGGTAGGGCACCAAGTTCGTCTGGAACTCGGTGATGTCCACGTTGAGAGCCCCGTCGAAGCGCAACGACGCAGTTAGCGAGGAGATGATATGCGCCAGCAGCCTGTTCAAGTTAGTGTAAGTCGGGCGCTCGATATCAAGGTTGCGGCGGCATATGTCGCACAATGCCTCGTTGTCATGCATGGGGAAAACCAAGCCAGCGAAACTGGCCTCAGCATGCCGCGGCACGCTGGTGGCTTGTTTGACGGCACAAGCCTAAGCCGGGTGGAATTTCTGCCTCAACCTGCTGGCCGGCTGAATATGCTCAGCCCTCCAGCTGCCTCCTCCTCCACCTCCTCCAACTCCCCGCCGCCTCGCCCTCCTCCTCCTCCTCCTCCTCCCCACGCTCCCATGTTGACCGCCTCGCCCTCCTCCTCCTCCTCCTCTTCCTCCTCCTCCTCTCGCTGCCGCTGCCTCTACCTCTCTGCCTGTTTAGGCATTTTCCTCCATCCTCATCATCTGCCACGTTCCGCCAAGGCTGGGCCTGCCTCCGCGGTAGCGGTCCTCGACGAGGCTCTGGCGCACGCCAGCCACGTACTCGAGCTGCTTCCGCCATGCCCGGCGGGCGTCTGCGCCCTGGAGCGCCTCCTCTGGCCATCCCATCCGTCTGGCCAGCGCGCTCCGCGGCGTGGCAATACCTCTCCTCCTGCCGGCCCACCCGTCGCAGCGCCACCAATGGTGGACCACGTCTGGCACCTCGCCGCTCGGGCAATCGCTGCACGGGCGCGGCTCTCTGCCCATCGCCGCGTCCAGCCTGGCATCGCTCCGCATGGCCCCGGTGAGCACGGCCAGCGCATGGCTGCCAAGCGCGCCTGACTGCAGCACTTCCGTCGCGACGTGGAAGGCTCTTTCATCGAAGGCGACACCTTCCTCCACAGCTAATCTGCTGTCACGTCTCGTCGCCCCTTGGGCCTTGAAGGCGCCCCAGCGCTCCTGCCGCCAGGCCTCGCGGAGCACGTGCGCCGCTCTGCCCCTGCGGTCGTCGATGCGCAAGTGCCTCTCGCCATGCTTCCAATCGCCCGCGTGGGTGTCCCTGTGGAAGCCCATTGTCTCTAGGTGTCGCTGCAGGCAGCGCGTCGGGCCGCAACTGTCCGTCACCTCCACCAGCCTCTGCCATGCCAGCTCCTCCTCCGTGCCCTGCCTCCTCCTCCTGGCCTGGTGGAAGGCCCGACATCTGTCCGCCAGGTGGTGCCGCAGGTCGCCGTAGTGGCCCACCGCTAGGAGATGCAGGAGCTCCACCGACGCAGAGGGCCACCTCCTGCCGCACACTGCTCTCCTCACCTCCCGTCGCACCTCCATCAGTTGCGCCTCCTGCGGCAGGGCCGCGACGAGCCCCCGCGCCATCGGGGGCATGGCTGCCGTCGCCACCGCGCGCCTCCTTGCCCGCCAGCCCAGCGGTAGCCTGGCAACCCTCTGCAGCCTCTCAATGCCTGCCTTGAGTTTCCCCATCTCCCTGGGCGTTAGCTCCCTTTCGTCGAAGGAGAAGTCGACACAGAGAACCTTGAAGCTGCTTCTGGCGCCTCCCCCTGTCCCTGTTCCCCCTCGTCCTCCTCCTCTACCTCCTCCGCCTCGCCGCCCAGCTCTTCCTCGCGAAGCGCCGGTACGCCCTCGGCTTCCACCTCTGTCGGCGCCGCGGTCCTCGCCGGCGTCGCGCGCGTCCGCGGAGACGACGAACCGTTGGGTCTTGCCCGGGTGCGTCCGCAGCGCCGTAAGCTGCTCCAGCTCCCCCCAGTGCCGTTCCACCTCCTGCATGTCCTCCAGGCTCCTCGCGCAGGCCGTGCGGTCGTCGGCGTACACGCAGCACGTGGCCGTCGCCACCCTCCGTTTCATGCGGCGCGTCGGCGGCATGAGCACGGTGGCCATGCCAAGCATGCTGGCAGGGTCTCCTTGCGGCAACGACCGTGGAACCGCGATGGGCTCACTAGCGACTAGGCCGGCACTCTCAATCCACCGCTCCTGGTTGCACCATATGTCCACGATGCCATCCACGATGCCATGGGGCACACCACACTCTTTCCAGATGCGTCCTACAATCACTGGATCCGTCCTGTCGAAGGCGCTCTCGAAGTCCCAGGAGGAGCCGTAGAGGGCGCCCTTCTTGCTGTCCACTCTCTGCTTGTCGTCTTCGCTCAGGAGGTCGTACGCAGGGGTGCCCGCGATCCTGTTGGCGACCATCGTTTGTTCGACCTCCGTCAGCGTGCCCTCCAGGAACCCCTCGAGCGTTCTCTGGCGCAGGCCGCCAGCTTGTTCCGCCTCGAAAGCCGGCTCCAGGAACTCTGCGGTCTGCTCTGCTCGGTGTTTGTGCCACATTCTTACCACCGTGCTGGCGATGGCGATGGGCCTCATGCGGTCCACTTTCGGGATGCTGTCGCTCTCCTTCGGGATGTGGGTCTGCCTCCACCTCTTGAGGCTCGGGGGCCACCCTCCCGCCTCGAAGCCAAGGCACAGATCCGCCAGGTCATCGTAAGCAAGGTCTGGCAGGAGGAGCAGCTCGCTCGCTAACCACTGGTCTTGGCCAGCCGCGGTGCCTGCCATCGTCCTCAAAAGCCGCCGCACGCTGCCTGCTGATGGGGCTCCCCAGCGCAAATCACTGTGGCCGAGCATGGCGTAGATGTGCTGACGATGGCGATCCTCCTGCGCCACCGCCTGCTGGATTTTCTCCTCCGCCTCCTCCACCTCCTCTGCGTAGTGCAGCATGTACTCCTCGGGCTGGTTCCCAGACCCTGCGCTACTGAAATGGCCGTGATAAAAACTACGGAGCTTCTCCACCGCAGCTTGCCCCGAATACTGTCTCTGCTCGGTCGCGTTGTACACGGCGGCTCCACAGCTCTGCGCCGGATTCCTGATCCATTTGTACGTCCGCTTCCGCATGTTGTCCTCACGTATACTCTCGCGCCACACTTTGATCCTTTCGTCCCTGCTGACCTCCACTGCTTCCCGCAGTTTCCTGTGCCGTTGTCATACATGATGGTGACGTCTGTGTGCTCTAGGAGGGAGTGCACGCAGAGCAGAATGTTGTAGGGCTCCACCACTGCTGTGGCGACCTGCGGGCACGCCCACACGGTAAAAGAGACCTTCGTCTTCTTCCCGTAATCCACAGACAAGCGCTCCAGCATCAGGCAGCCGAGCCCAGATCCAGTGCCTCCGCCGACGGCATTGTAGATCATGAAGCCCTGGAGGCCAGTGCAGTTGTCGGCCAACTTTCTGATCCGATCGAGGACGAGGTCGACGATCTCCTTGCCGATGGTGTAGTGCCCTCGCGCAAAGTTGTTCGCGGCGTCCTCCTTGCCAGAGATGAGCTGCTCAGGGTGAAACAGCTGACGGTAGGTACCCGTGCGAACCTCATCGACCACAGTGGGCTCCAGGTCGACCATCACACAGCGGGGGACGTGCTTGCCGGCGCCAGTCTCGGAGAAGAATGTGTTGAAGGCATCGTCGCCGCCGCCGATCGTCTTATCAGAGGGCATCTGGCCGTCAGGCTGGATGCCGTGCTCAAGGCAGAACAGCTCCCAACACGCATTGCCAATCTGCACACCCGCCTGCCCAATGTGGATGCAGATCGCCTCACGCATTGTGTCGGATAGGCTTCTTGATCGAGTTGGAGTCTGACAAGGAGTGACAACTTACAAGGCCGCCGCGTGATGTGACAGCCTCGATCGGAACCGCTTGAGCCAAAATAGATACGGCGGCAAAGACCGCAAGAGAGATTAGTGCGCGTGCCCGGAAATCCCGCGCGAGAACGCGAGCTTGAAATACATGGCGAAGAAATAACAGAAAGGGGCTGCTGTTGTTGTAAACCGGGGGCGAGGAACACAATTTGAGGAGGAAGGCTTTCCCCTGTAAGTAAATGGGTGCGAGCCCCAGGAGGAGCACTTCAATGGTGGGGGACCAACCACAAGTATTGTTTAGAAATGAGAACGTGATCATCTCAAGGCTGTTCGCTCTTACCTGTTCGCGTGCCATTCAACACGTGTATCCCAAACACTCGATGCCCGCCCTCTTCGTCTTCGATCGTGCCCCCCTTGGGGGTATGTTTTCCCTACCATCCGCATTCGGAACTAATCCCACCAGCCCTTAGGGCGGCGTAGGTGGTCTAGGGTGTTTTGTCTTCCATCTGCCCCTCTTCCCCTTCGGGGAAAAATACGACTGTTCCTTATTAATATTCACCCCCTCCCCCACCCGACCAGCGACCAAACCAGAACCATGCCGACCCCATGCGGACCCGCCCCCTACCATCCCTGTCAAATTAGCCTGGCGAAGGACCCAACCATACGCAGTTGTGAATACCTTCGTTGTGTGCACCGCGTTCGGTGGAGCTCCCATTGGGGCTACCAAACGTGTGAGGGGTGTGCCAAAATGGGCCCGGTGGGCGCATGCGCGCGCTGGCATTTGAGCCTTCGGTGGGGCCCTCTGTGGGTCCACGAAACGTGTGAGGGGTGTGCCAAACTGGATGCGGTGGCCGCATGCGAACGCTGGCATTTGGTCCTTCGGTGGGGCTCCCTATGGAGCCACGAAGCGTGTGAGGGGTGTGCCAAACTGAGCGCGGTGGCCGCATGCGAACGCTGGCACTTGGGCCTTCGGTGGGGCCTCTTCGGCCGTCGTGGAGCGATCTGAAGGGCCTCTGACGACGTCCGGGACCTTGCGGAGGCGGAACATGCGAGAGCGCAAAAATGCGGGGCCCTTTGGAGGGGCCTCTGGAGGCGCTCTTGGGGCGTTTTGGCGGCGTCGTCTGCCGTCCTGAGGCCATCTTCGGCGTGTCCGGGGCCTCTTGGGGCTGTCTTGGCAGTCTTTAGGGCCCTCTTGGCGTGTCGTGGCGTGTTTGGGAGCGGGCCCGGGCAGTCCCGGGAGCACTGGGGGCTGTTGAATGCTAGGTGTTGTCTTGGAGGCGGAGGCTGTTGAATGCAGGGTGGCGCGTGCTACACGGAAGGCGGGCGAGCGGCCGGGCGGGCAGCGGGCGGGCGGGTGGCGGGCGGGCGGGCGGGCGGGTGGGGATTTGAATGAGTTCCTTGAGGTTGCTCTCTTGCAGCGGGAGCTTGTTGAGTACAGGGTGCTGCCTTGAAGACGGGGGCTGTTGACTACAGGGTGTTGTCTTGGAGACTGAAGCTGTTGAGTACAGAGTGGTGCGTGCTACGCGGACGGCAGGCGGGCGGCGGGTGCCCTAGGTGGTCGGTCAGAGGCCTCATGGGTGTTGGTTTGCATCTCGTGGTTGGCCTGTCGGGGACGTCGTGAAGGCAGTTTCGCAGCTTCTCGGTAGCAATTTTGAGACCGTTGTGGGACCTCCTCGGGGCTGTTTTGTGGCCTCTTGAGGCCTTGTTTGGGTCTCCTGGGTGCCACTCGGGGGCCTCCTGGGGCCTCTGGGGGGCTCCTTGGGGCCTCCTGGGGCACTCTTCAAGCGGGAGGGTCGAATTTTGGAGTCGTGGTCCCCTTCTTGGGCGCATCTTGGGGCCGTCTTGGGGCGCTCTTGGGGGCCTATGGAGCCGGCCTGGAACGTCGGACAGCCGAAAAGGCTGGAAGGCCAACATCTTTCCAAACCCTTCGTAAATGTGACGATTTGGGTCTCTTGAAGCGCTCGGGAGAGGCGTCTTGAAGCGTCGTGGAGTGCCTTGGGGGGCTTCTCGGGTCGTCTTGGGCCTATCTTGGGCGTCCAGGAGCGGTCTTTCGGCGACTCGGGGCCCGCTTGGGCCGTCTGGGGAGCCTATGGAGGCCCTCCTGGACTATTTTGACCTCCCCGGCCGCCCCGTCCTGCCATGGGGGGTCGGGGCAGCTGTTTGTGGGCCCCGGGCCTACCCCCCAGGGATACATATATATATATATATATATATATATATATATATATGTGTGTGTATGACACATGGTTTGCTGAATCAATTGTCAAAAAAAAGCCTGCGCCCGCGGTCTTGTGAATTCTCAAGATTACCACATGGGTTCAACATACTTACGAATGTATGACGAGCGGGCCTCTCGCGCCGCATGTCCAAATAACCGCGTCTGTCGTCATCGTAATCGCGGCCGCATGGGTTTTGCAAACCAAGTTGCGGGTGGGTGGGTGGGAAGATCGCGCGAGCAGTGGAGTTGACAACTTCAAGCTGTGCATGGTGAGTACACAACATAGATTGCACAACGTAGATTGCACACACATATACTGCGTACTCGCATAGCTTTCACGATATAGTTTGCAGCACATGGGTTGCACGGTGTCTCTTGCCGCGCCTGCAGCGCGATACTGGCCGCACACAACGTACACTACACTGCGCAAATTGCACATAGTAGATTACACCATACACAGTGCACAACATATAGTGCAACACGTAGAACACCCTACATATATTGCATAGCAGAGAAAGAGAGAGAGAGAGCGAAGAAGAGCACCACATCGATTGTACAACATACGCTGCTTGGGACCTACGCTGGCTAACGTACTTCCCTTGGGAAACCATGGGCGAAAAGGGCTCCCACAGCTTTCGTGCGGCCCCTCAAAGGTTGCCCCCGAGCTCTCCAGGAATTGTCGCGAAAATCCGCACAAGACTCCCACAAGACGTCCCGGATTCTCCGTCGTCGTCACTCTCCGCCACCTCCTCTGTTTGTCGCGGTCTTTGTCATACATATATATATATGTATATAGATTCCCTCTCGCGGAAGGGCCGGCCGCATGGCGCAAGATGCTTGGACAATGAACGGCTGATGGCCGCCAGCCTCCAGGGCACGTAGCAAAACTTTGAGCTTGCTCGCGATCCCTTGCGCTTCCCTGATGGATGCACGATGCGTCCAGGTGCGTCGCAACGCCCATGGACTGAACGCAAATTACCTGCGCAAGCTCGTAGATAATACCCTGCCGACGTGAACCTGGCGAACAGTTGTCCGCTGGGCACGGGTCGTCTTGTCGCGCCTGTCCAAGCCGCTCTTAACCGCTGTGCAGCGCGACGCGAACTTCCCCTGGGAGCACGGCGAGGTGCTCACCGCGCCGCAGGCGTTGTGTGTTCAGAAGCGGGGGCCTGGGGCGTGGATTCCAGGAGCTCCACGTGGGCAGCCAGCGCCTCGGTGTGATCTGCCAGACGGGTGTAAATGTGCGGGGTGTGCCCCAGACCAGCCGGGCTGGCGGGAAGTCGCGGCGAGGGGGGCGAGGGGCGGCGCAGCGCGCAGGGGCGCGGTGGCATGTGCGGGGCTGCGGGCGCCCAGCGGAGGGGGCGTTCTGGAGCGCTCGTCCCGGGGGTGAGCAGAAAAATCTGGAGACATTCGGGCCGGGCGAAAGGGGGGGATGGCAAAGAGGGGGTTTGAGAATCAGCTCACGTGGCTGATTTTCCCGCCGCCTCCCGGCGCCGGAGGCGGCTGTGTATTGATGAATGGGCCCCTCGGTGGGGCCGAAACCAGCTGCATGCAGCAGATTTCGCAAAATCCCCTTTCCCAGTCCCCACCTTTCGTTCGGCCCGAGACATGGTAGCCTTTGGGGCTTCTGGTGGGCGGCATGGCAGGGTACGCGTCGGGCTTCATACCCGCGCAAGCGTGCTCCCGTCGCTACCGAGAACCGCCGGCCCAGGGCAAGGCGAAGGAGAGAAGAGGAGCGTGCGCAAAGCAGGCCGGTTTCCAGAGGGGGGAATTGAGCCACGCACGGGCGTCCCGCAGGTTCGCATGTCCGCAAGGGGTGACGCAGGGCCCCCGAGAAAAGCCGAAAAGAGCCCCGCGTACATCCGACGGAGGGACGGGTTTGCAAAAGCCGACGGCGGGGCGGATCACATGCTCAAAGTGGGTGTCGTTGGTATTGTGCTGGCTTTGTCGGCGGGGTGCTGGGGAGGTGGGCCGCAGGCTGCTGTACATCAGAGCCCCAGTTCTCCTTGGGTGGGAGTCGCAAGTCGTCTCGGATAGCCTCATCGTCCCGACGGCCAGATATCCACTGGTATGGATAGGGCGACTTTCAGAACGCTGAGGGCCTGTGTGGCCAGCCGGACATTCTACGGAAGGACACGCAAGGGGGACTGTCGGCGCAGGCGGCCCGCAAGCGGGTGCACGGCGCATCCCAGCAGGACGCCGCATCCTGCGTTGGGAGAGCGTGTGCTGCTGGTTCTCTGGAGGCTGAGGCAGACTCGGAGGGCTGCCCCATTCCTGGAGAAGGGCCGCGGGAGCCGGCATCAAAGTTCGCCCCGGGCAGTGCGGAGCTGCAGGGGGGGCCGATGCTCTTCCAGAAAGCCCAAGCGAAAGGGTGGGCCCCCGGAGGCCCTGGCCGAGCTTGCGATGCGGCTGGTGCCAGCCCTCGAGCAGGGCAGGGCTGCGGCAGCGAGAGAGGAGCGCTGCGGGCCCGGCGCCCAAGCACAGGAGGTCACGTGGGCCAGTGCCGTCCGCCCCCAGGCTGCTGGCTGTTCCCCGTCGGGCTGCCTGGGCTCCCCCCAGCAGGCAACGGCGCCGCTGGTGGGGATGAGTGGGGCCTGGGCCAGCGGCTCGAGGGGAATGCTGCGGCCTGGCGCCTGGGCAAGGGAGGCCTGTGCCCGTGTTCCGCTCCCGGCTGCCGGCGGGCCCCGCCCGAGTGGGGTGGCCGGTGGGCAGGAGACGGGACGGCTTCTTCCACCTGGTCCCGGCATGCTCTGAGGGCCGCCGGGTTCCCGGCCATTGCCATGCCGTGCCGTGTCCTCCTTGCTCTCCTGCCCTCAATGATCCTTTTCTTGCTTCTTGCTCTCCCCTCCCTCTGGGAGCAGTGCGCGTCCTCCTCCTCCTCCTCCTCCTCCTCCTCCTACTCCTTCTTCTCCTTCCTCCTCTTTCTCCTCCTCCTCCTTCTTCTCCTTCCTCCTTCTTCTCCTCCTCCTCCTCGTCCAACTCCTCCAACTCCTCCCTCTCCTCCTCCTCCTCCTCCTCCTCCTCCTTCTTCAAGTCCTCCTCCTCCTCCTAATATCCTGCGCCTGCTCATGCGCCTGATGCTGCTAATCTGGATTGTGCTGCACCTCCTGCTGTTGATCCTCATCCTCCTCATCGTTGTCGTCCTTCTCCTGCTACCTGGCTGCCGCGTCTCCGAGCGGAATGAACGCGCGCGGGTTCCGTAAGGCAGGTTCCAGGACTGGAATGACCTCTGGAACAAGTTCTGGGACTCCTTATGCATCCGCACGGGCAACCAACGAAAATACGTGCCTTTCACGGAAGGCTCCCTCCTCATGCTCCATCCCATGAGGAAAGGCGGCCCTGAGCGCACGGGTGGTATTCCTTGGGGCTTCCTGCGGGGTCAGCTTCTCGCGCTGGGTCGTTTTTGGTGCAGCTCTCGGGGCCTTGCAAGGGCCCCGAGAGGGCGAACGCTGTGAAACTAATCAATACGACCTTTACGTCACAACAACGTTTCTTCGTTCTGCAATTCGTACGTGCGCCCGCTGTCGCTGTCGCGCGCGTGCGCCGACATGCTAGACTTCTGTAATACAACGCTGGCTGTTCACAACGACCCCCAACAGCCACGACCGTGAAAACTCGTGACTCACAGCGAGGGCCGAAAACCTGGTTTCCTCATGTCGGCTTCACGCTCGCTGCCTGCGACGCGACAGCGGCGGCCCGCGTGCTTGGGCTTGCCTCCCCAGCGCCCCACCCAAAGGGCCGCTCACCAAGAGCCAGCCCGGCGCATGGCCCTTCTGAAACGTGTCGCTGATCACCGTGCCTCCTCCTCCTCCTCCTCCTCCTCCTCCTCCTCCTTCCTCCTCCTCCCCTCCCCCCGCCGGGCCACCGCGTCCCGTCGGACAGGGTGAGCACGCCGTGGCCATGCCTGGGGCGCGCGCGCGCGCCCAGCGCCTGCCTCCGCCCGCCCTCTCGCAAAGCCTGGGCGATGGCGACGACAGCGACGGCGACGGCCAGGAGGAGGGGCGAGGGCGAGGAGGCGGGCGAGGCATGGAGCGCGAGGGCGAGGCGGGTGAAGGGTAGCAGCATGCGGGAAAAGCATGCAAGACACGGGTGAAGAGAAGGAGGAGGATGAGGAGGAGGAGGAGGAGGAGGAGCAGGAGGAGGAGGAGGAGGAGCAGGAGGAGGAAGAGGAGGAGGAGGAGGCGGTATAATGAGGAGCAGAGTGAGGAGAGTGAGGAACAAACAACAGGGGGACGAGGCATACTGCGGTGGCGCAGGTAGGAGGATGGGGAGGACGGGGCGAGTGTTTTTTTACGTCGACGACCTTGGTGCCTGAAACGGGGCCGCTTGTGTCAGAGTTCAGTGCCTCCATTCCGTTCTGGATTGGGTGCTTTGCATAAGCCTGGCCAAGCCTCACCGCGATCTGGGCTGCATAACCTTCTCAGCTGCGCCCCCGAAGCGTCAGAACGGCACGGTCGGCAAGCGCACGCGCGCACGCCGCTGCAACTCGTCACGCCGATCGGGCTCAACCATGCGGGGCCGGCCTTGTAGCGGCGAGATCATACTCTGGGTGCAAGTCTTGAGAGATCCCAAGCCCTCGCAGCATTGCGAAGACATCCTGATCCGTCGATGCTCCTGCCCTCCAGTGTCACGTTTCCTCCAGCGGAGCCGGGTGAGATTCCGTGCCCGCCGCCTGATTGACTGACTGACTGATGCCAACGAACAGCTCGAAGAACACGTTTTGGGCTGCCCGCGGTCACCCGCAACCGTACCCACGACCGCAACCGGGGCACACATTGTGGGCCGCCAAAAAAGCGATCGCACCCGCACCCGCAACAAGCAAGGCACAACTTGGGCCGCCCTTGTGCGCCGGCACTCGCAGCCGCCTCCGCCCCGCGGGGAATACCCTCTGGGCCGCCCGCGGGCGCCCGCGCCCCGCAACCGCAACTGTGGAGCACACTCTTGGCTGCCCGCGGGCGCCCGCAGCCGCAACTGCAACTGGGGGCCCCCCTGCGGAGGCCCGCGCCCGCCACCGCAGTCGCCCCCGCAGCTGCCACCGAAGGGCACATGCCGTGAGCTGGGCTGGCCGCTCTTGGGCGCCCGCAGCCACAACCGGGGAAGGGGGGAACACGTACTGGGTCGCCACAGGGCGCCCGCAGTCGCAACCGCAACTGGGGCAGGCACTCTGGGCCGCCGTCACGAGCCTGCTATTGCCCCCCAGAACCGCACCTGCGACTGCAACTGGGGAGCCCGGGAGCCTGGTGTGCTCTTTTGGAGCTTGCCTGGAGCCATCGTGAGAGGTATCGAAGCACTGCTGCGCCATTATGTGGCTTTCTTTAAGCTTCTGTTTGCGGGGTCCTCCAGAGACCTCACGTTGGCTGCTTGGGGGCTCTTTGAGCCCAGATCAGCGGCGATTCATGTCAACCAGAACTACTACCGTTATCACCATCATTTCCGTCCTCAACATCATCATCACCGAAATCGTCATCGCACAATTTCCGTATGCTCCCACGTCCTTGCCCACAACACCATTACGTAGCCTCATCATCATCATTGGCATCACCACTCGGCGACTCCGAAAGGTGTGGTTTGCAAAGGGCGTGGTTTCCAACTGGCACCCTGGAGGGCACCCTGGGCGGCCAGAGGGAACCTCGACATAGGTCTCCGCCGCGCCCCGAGGAGGCCCGACGGGGACATCCCCGGGCCCCAACGGCGCCGATCGCAGACCACACCCCGGCGTTAACCATACCCTTCGAGTCGCCGAACCACTATCACTTCCACAATCGGCATTCCCGTCATAGACATGCTCGTGGTCCTTTGATGCCGCTGTAAGCGGCCCCTGGGCGTGGCCAGCTTCAGCGGTTCTTCGCTGGGGCACTGCAGCGGGGAAGCCCCGCTCCACGCTGCTGCCTTAGCGTCGTAACATGTGCCCTCGGGTGAAGAACAACGATAGGGGAAGACAGGCCTTGGGGGGGACACGTCGACATGGAATCGCCGATACATCGCCGATAGATCGGCGATAGGTCCCTGCGAGCGACTCAGCACGTTCCTGGGCAGGTTGGGGCTATCGGGCCCCTATCGGCGATCATTGGGCAACTTGGGGTCGATGCATCGCCCCCCTATGCCTATCCCCCACGTCTTTGCCCCTGATCGGGGATCTCGACCCCTTCCCCAGGGCCAACTTCATCACCTCATCGCAAAACCTGCACACAACACTGGGGCGGTCTGAAAGGACGCTGGTCTGTCTGAAAATGAAACCTCCGGCACGCAACTACAGCGGCTCGGCCGCTGCAGGCTGCATGGGCTAGGGCCCGCTAATTCTACAGTTGTGGCGTTGACCTAAGGAACGAAAAAAATAAGGAACGAGGCCCCATTTTCTCCACAAGTTAAGCTTCGACGATTCCCAATCAAAAACCGAAGGACAACCTAAATCAAACTGTAAAATAACTGAAGAACACTGAGCCCCTCCCAAACGGAAAGGAGTCCCTCTTCAGCGCTCCTACTGTCCCCCACCCCCACTGGGGCCAGAGAAACTGCAGATGACTGGGTCCTCGTTTTGAAAGCCGAAACTGACATCAGCTCTAGGCGCCCGAGGGGCCCCTGGAAAGAGCTCTGGGAAAGGCCCGACGGCACCCTGCGCCCTCATCCCGCCCTCCCTCCACCGTTCCTCCCTCTCTTGCCCTCCCCTGCAACGTGTTGGGCTGGGGTGTCTGCGGGCCCGCCCAGAATAGCGCCCCGAAAATGCCGACCAACGCGATATACTTCATTGTTGCACCGCTGGGGTGTGGTATAATAATGTCACGAAAGAAGCCGGATTCTGTACCCCACCTAAGAATATACCCCACCCGCGGAAAGAACATGTCGAAGGCGGCGCGGACGCTGGAGGTCTGTCGCGGAGTGCTCCGCCTGGAGCGCCCGATTGCTCCGAAATGTTCAGGGAAGACTCGGAGGAACGCAGTGCTTGTCCTCGCTTCACGCGATGCACTTTGTCATGCGACGCGCGGGGGCAAATCAGTGCATGAAGCATGCGCCGCACCGCCGCACCCTGCGAACATCTAGCAAATTGGTCGAGCTCGCGCTGCAACTTCTTCGCCAGATGAGTGCAGGTGCGTTCTGCTCCAGAGACTTCCTCGAGAATCATGCAAGTCTGATGCTTCAACGACCTGCCCGCTCGACCCGGCCGTGAGCTCGCCCGCCCGACACGCCCGTCAAGGTACGCCTGGCCGACCCGTCCATCTGGTTCTGGCGCTTGCCTCCCGCTAATCTCTCGCGTGCTTCATCCTTCTCCCTCCCCCTCGTCCTTTCCCTCCTCCCTCCCTTCCCATGTTCATTCTAGGGGCTGCGCCAAGTACACGTGACAGGTAAGGAAGACATGTCCCCAAGGGGGGTACGATCGAGGGTTCGGGACATACATGTTGAGTAGCACGTGAGCAGGTAAGAGCGGACAGATATAGAATGGTGGTTGTCGTCGTCGTCGTCCTTCTCTTTTTCCTCTTGAGAATTCCTCGCCATGCATTATCCTGGAGCTTGTAATTTGCAACAGTTTCACGGATGGAGGACGGCTCTCTTTTCAAAGTATGACTCTCACCTTAGCGCCGCGCACATTCGTCTCAAAAGAGTGTAGCAGTTTCACGGATGGAGGGCGCGTCGTTTTCAAAACGTGGCTCTCACCTTAGCCTCAGGTCGGGCCTGTCCCCCTACAGGGGGGGTATTGGACGAAAGATTAAAAATACCTCCAAAATACTTCAAGCATGCAGAAAGAAATCAACACATCGTCCCTAGACTATTTTTTGGGGCTATTTTTTAAAATTTTCCCCTGTAGAGGGACAGGCCCAACTTAATCTTGGCGCCGCGCACATGTGTCTTAACGTTTGCAGCAGCTTCACGAATGGAGGGTGGGTGGTTTGCTCTCGCATCAGCGCCGCGCACATTCGTCTTAGAAGTTTACAACAATTGCACGGATGGAGGGCGGTTCGTTTTCAAAATGTGGCTCTTCATGTTGCGACGCGCACATTCGTTTCGTTCGACCAAAGTCAGAGGAATGTTTGTGCTGGCACGGTCCAGGACTTTCAGGATGCAACAGCTACACTGATTCACTGTGTTGAAGTCCCAGGTATTGTGTTTTGGCATGATGTTGGATTGTCAGCACGCAGCAGTCATGTTGATCCGCGGCGTTGAGGTTGCACAAACTGCGTTTAGGCACGATTGAGGATTTTCAGACGTGTGTCTTCTAATGGGCCACTACCCGCAATGAGAATGACTTCTATGAGGGACCTATGAAGAGGAAACTTGGAGGGAGGGTTTGTTGCAACATCGTTGATGCATCTAGGGTTTACACAGGTCCTCCTCCTCCCCCTCCTCCTCTTCAAGTACCTCCTCCTCCTCCTCCTCCTCCTCCTCCTCCTCCTCCTGCGCCCCCTCCTCCTGCTGCTCCCGCTCGTCCCTCCCCCTTCCCCCCTCCCAGCAGCGACACGGCACGATCGGCCTGCGAGGAGCTCGTCCACGATGCGCCGCGGGTGAGGAAGCCAGAAGGAAAGCAAGAAAGACAACGAGTAGGGGAACGAGGAAGGGTACGAGAGAGAAAGAACAAATGCGTAAACATAAACTTTGGAATGTCCGCGCGGATTTCTTGGATCCACGCTGGATCCCCCTACCTGGCGCGCGGAGCCGGAGGCGCCGCCGGGGGGTCCAGCGCCAATACAAGAAATCCGCGCGGACCGTCGACTATGTATGTTTATGCAGTTTTCTTCTTCGAATGATGGGGCTCGAGGACCAAGAGATCGGCACTCAAACAAGCGTCCGGAGATCTGCGCGAACGCCTTGGGTCTGGCGCAGACGTCGGCGGCACCCCAACGACGACCCAAGACATCCGCGCGGAGCTCCGAAAATGCATGCTTGTGCCATTTCTGCTCTCCGCCTCCTCTGATCGTACTCCAGCTCCACCTCTCCTCCTGACCCCCTCTTTGGGAACTCGCAAGGTGTTTAGGTGGATGCTGGTATTTGGTAAAGGCTCGTAACTGGAGCTGCGCGAGAGAAGCTTCACAACTGAGACCTCGAGCCGAGGGCGGAAGGCGGGGGGTGCAGGGTGACAACGTCGAGGCCGGGTCGCCTCTTCCGGTTACGGAACTGGCCGGTGTACGTGGAGCGGTTGTACGTCGCCTGGCTCGCTGCCGAGGGCGTCGCACGGCAGCGGGGCGAGATATCGCACGGCAGGGGAGTGGCAAAAGTCAACCAGACCTCCCTCCATCGCTCCTCCCTTGAAAATACTGCCCCCTCGTCGCACCACGAGGACGTGTCGGTGCGGCGATCTGGGCGTCTCGCCCGAGGCCTCTCGGCGTAGGATTCTGAAGCGTGAGACTTCTGACTGTTGCAAGTTGCGCGACATGCAGGCGGGTGGGTCTCAAACTGCGGCTCTCGCCTTAGCTCCGCTTACACTCGTCCTAAGCATTCCAAGCAACTACACGGACAGCTCTTGTTCAACATGTCCTCGCCTTAGTACCGCGCACGTTTTTCAAAGCTTGACGAGAACCCTGTATGAGATCTCACTCCTGCTGGGGACTCGGGATCGAAACCGCTAGCCTGGCAGCGTCTGCCGGTGCAAAACCCTGCTTCCCAATAGATTCCGGGACATACTCCAATGACTGGTTATATCACGTGTTCATGTATGTGTGCGTTTTTGTCATGCGTTACTATTAGCGCAGGGAGATGTAGAAGGACAGGGCACGATCAACAACGAATGATCGACTGCATCATGATAGCGATGGACCAGCTTTTGTAGATTAGAAGTCTGCAGAGTTGTTTCCCAATCATCCTGTGGCGTTGGGCCCTCGCCTTGAAGAGAGGGCGCCCCGCGTTCCTCCCTTCCTTCTCTCCTCCTCCTCCCCCTCCTCCTTCCCCCGCCTCTGTGCCTCTGCCCTCCGCATGTTTCTGGTTCGGCACATCATCATCATCATCATCATCATCATCATCATCATCATCATCATCATCATCATCATCATCATCATCATCATCGTCATCATCATCATCATCATCAATCATCATCATCATCATCATCATCATCAGCATCAGCATCAGCATCACCAGCATCATCACCAGCATCATCGTCGTCATCATCATCATCAGCATCAGCATCATCATCATCATCATCATCGCCAGCATCAGCATCAGCAGCAGCAGCATCAGCATCAGCATCAGCATCAGCATCAGCATCATCAGCATCATCATCAGCATCAGCAGCATCAGCAGCATCAGCATCAGCATCACCATCAGCATCATCATCAGCATCATCATCGCATCAACGTTTCGTGCCCCATAGGGAGCTCCACCGAAGGCCTCAGTGGGAAAGTTCGCATGGCGGCCCCGTCTCTTCGGCACATCCCTCACACATTTCGTGACCCCATAGCGAGCTCCACCGAAAGCCCGAGTGGCAAAGTTCGCATGGCGGCCCCGCCCCATTTCGGCGCACCCCTCACACGTTTCGTGGCCCATAGGGGGCACCACCGAAGGCCTCAGTGTCAAAGTTCGCATGGCGGCCCTGCCCCACGTCGGGGCACCACTCACACGTTGCGTGGCCCCATGGGGAGCTCCACCGAAAACCCCAAGGGCAAAATTCGCAAAACGGCCCCATTTCGGCGCACCCTTCACAGGTTCCGTGGCCCCATAAGGAGCTCCTCCGATGGCCCCAGTGGCAAAGTTCGCATGGCGGCCCCGCCCAATTTCGGCGCACTCCTCACACGGTTCGTGGCCTCATGGGGAACTCCACCGAAGGCCCGAATGGCAAAGTTCGCATGGCAGCCCCGTCCCATCTCGGCGCACCCCTCACACGTTTCATGGCCCCCTCCGAAGAACCCAGTGGCAAAGTTCGCATGGCGGCCCAGCCCCTTTTTGGCGCACCCATTACACGTTCCGTGGCCCATAGGGAGCTACACCGAAGGTCCCAGTGGCAAAGTTCGCATGGCGGCCCCGCCCCACTTCGGCGCACCCCTCACAAGTTTCGTGACCCTATAAGGAGCTCCACCCAAGGCCCCAATGGCAAAATTCGCATGGCGGCCCAGCCCCATTTCGGCGCACCCCTCACACGTTCAGTGAACTCCACCGAAGGCGGGGCTCACAACTGCGGTACTCACAATTGCATATTGTTGGGTCCTTCTTCCGGACAATTAGTTCAGAGTCTGCAGAGTACGAGGTAGACGAATAGGACGAACCAGAATGCGAAAGCTCAGAGCATGACATACAATATTTACAAAGAGGTGCACTGGCACATGGTGGAGACGAACAGAGGACGGTAACGTTGAACTCCGTATGGTAGGTAATGGCAGTGTAGAGCGGAGAGTAAGAGAAGACTTGGAGTTGACTGGCAACATGAGTAGGACAATCGCGGTGACTAGAATGGCACTTTAAATATGCCAAAGCAGCAGGATCCGATTAGTAGAGCAGATGCGAATAGCGCATAATAGGATGCGTACACTAGAAAATAGTGGACCGTGATAGAGTATACCAGACTCGGGCATCATAAAGCAGAACATATAACAACCTACCACAGTCCGACCAAACATTACAGTCGAGGAGTAGGATTCACTAAGGAGTCTGCACATCAAGATAAAACAGAGCAGGGCAGCACATGTATGTGCGCTGCTCCCTCGTCGGTATGTCTGGCGATGATGTTGGGAACCGGCGAGTCGATCACCTGTACAAGCGTATGTGTGTAGGGGCACACGCGTATACGCATACCGATGTTCATTCATTCATTCATTTACTGAAGCGTTGTGCCAGCTAGAGTTATCGCAGCGACCGGCGAATATATCAATACATATATATATACAGTTATATATAGGTAGGTCGATACTTGTGTATAGATGTGCAGACTAGAACCATCGCGCGCGCTTCGCGCGCGCTCAGGTTCTAGCAGGCCCCAGGCCTTGACGAATTCACTACTCCACTGAAGTAGTGGACCACAGTACACGCATGCCAATCTGCATTCCGAAAGGCCTTCGAGGAAAATGGTTGTGTAGGGGGGCGGAGGCCGTATGAATCGGGTTCCCAGAAGGCCTTCTGGGAGCATGGATTTGGGGGCGTCTTGGGGAGCCTGTTAGGGCGTGCCGTCGTCGTCGTCGTCGTCGTCGTCGTCGTAATGTCGTCGTCGCCTATTGGGGCGCGCCGTCGTCGTCGTCGTCGTCGTCGTCGTCGTCGTCGTCGTCGTCGTCGTCGTCGTCGTCGTCGTCGTCGTCGTCGTCGTCGTCGTCGTCGTTTCGTCGTCGTCGTCGTCGTCGTCTTCGTCGTTTCGTCGTCGTCGTCGGTTCGAGAGGGCACTCGGGGCACCTTTGTGCGAAACGATCTGCGGAGGGCCGCGAGAAGGCGATTAGTCATGTTCCCAATCAACTTCCCAGACAACTCTCTTGTAGCATGATGGTACTTCCGGAGGCGGGCCCATGATGAACCATGTCCCCGGAAGGCGTTCTGGGGACATGATTTGTTGGGAGGTCTCTTGGGCGTTCCCTGGGGGCCCCCTGGGGACCTCCGGGAACTCTCGGGCCCATGATGAACTATGTCCCCAGAAGGTTTCCTGGGGACATAATTTCTTGGGGTGTGTTGAGGGGCCTCTTGGGCGTTCCCTGGGAGCCCCTTGGGGGTCTCTTGGGGCTTCCTTGGGGCCTCTTGGGCGCCTCACGGGGCTTCGTGAGAGCCTCTTGGTGGCCTCCGTGGGCCTACAGGCAGCCTCTAGGGCCAGAGACCTCGAAATATCGGTTGGCGGTCCCCCTCTGGGCCCTGCCTTGGGGAGCTCTTGGGGCACAGTTGGGTTGTCTGGGGAGCCTCCTGGGCCGTCTTGGGGCCCTCTTCGGGGCCCTCTTCGGGGCCTCGTGGCCCGTCTTGGAGCGTTCTGAAGGGCCTCCGAGCGAGGCCGTGAGGGAGCGCTGGGAAGCGGGGAAAGCGAGAACGCCTAAATCCTTCAAAAACCATCGGAAAATTAGTGAATCTTGCCTCCCAGGGCCCTCTTGGGGAGCCTCTTGAGTCCGTCTTGGAGCGTGTTGGAATCCTCGTCGGCCCGGTCGGCCGTCTTGAGGGCAACTTGGGAGTCTTCGGAGCCTCTTTGGACCGTCTTGGGCCCTCTCGGGACCTCCATTAGCCTGTCGTGGCCTGCTTCGGGGCGGGCCCGGGCCGCCTCGGGACCCCTCTGGGCCTTCTCTTGGCGCGCTCTTGGGAAGCTTTCCGGGAGCATGATTTGTTCGGCTCTCTAAGAGGTGGGCCTCTGGGGGCTTACCGAGGGGCGCCTTCTGGCCTTGTCGGCAAGCCTATTGGAAACATGGTTGGGGCGGTGGGCGGGAGCCCAAGGAATCATGTTCCCGGAAAGCTCTGGGAAATACGATTTACCGAAGTGTCTTGGGGCCCGCAGGGGGCTTCCCTGGGGGCCCCTTGGGGGCCGATTGGGGCTTCCGGGGGGCCTCTTGGGAGCCTCACGGGGCTTCTTGGGAGCCTTTTGATGGCCTGTCCTAGGAGCCTCTCAGGCCAGAGAACTTGAAATGTCGCGCTCTTCGGGCCCTTTGGGTCGCTCTTGGGGCTCTCTTGGGGCGCTCTCGAGGCCCTCTTGACTTGTCTGGGGAACCTCCTGGGCCGTCTCTGGGCTTTCTTGGGAGCCTCTTCGGCCGTCTTGGAGCGATCTGAAGGGCCTCTGACGCGGTCCGGGAACGTGTGGAGGCGGAATATGGGAGAGCGCAAGAATGCTTCAGAAACCAATGAAATATATATATATATATATAACTTTCAACTTCTGGGCCCTTTGAAGAGGCCTCTGGAGGCGCTCTTGGGGCGTTTTGGCGGCGTCGTCGGCCGTCCTGACGTCATCTTCGGCATGTCCGGGGCCTACCCGGAAATCATGTTCCCGGAGAGGCTTCCGGGAACATGATTTCGAACGGGGCCCTCTTGGGCATCCCTGAGGCCGTCTTGGGTGCCTCCTGGGCCAGCTTGGGGGCCTCTTGGGCCATCTCTGGGGGTTCCGTGAGCCCCACAGGCCGACCTTTTTGGGCCGTCTTGGGCCCTCTTGGGTCTCTCTTGGGCTGTCTTGGGGCTCCGCGGGGGCGTTTGGGGCACTGTGAAGACGAAGCCAGCGAGTATGCTGAAAATGAATGTTTTACAAAGGAAATGGGCAGATTTTTTTTGCCTCTTGAAGGCCTTCTTGGGGCCCTCTTCGGCCATCTTCAAGCCATCTCGGGCCCTCTGGGGCCTCCCTGAAGCTGTCTTGTGGGCCTCTTGGGCGTCCTCGGAACCCGGAAATCATGTTCCCGGAGAGGCTTCCGGGAACATGATTTCGAACGGGGCCCTCTTGGGCATCCCTGAGGCCGTCTTGGGTGCCTCCTGGGCCGGCTTCGGGGCCTCTTGGGCCGTCATGGGGGTTTCCGTCAGCCCCACAGGACTACCCTTTTGGGCCGTCTGGGGCCCTCTTGGGTCTCTCTTGGGCTGTGTTGGGGCTCCGCGGGGGCGTCTGGGGCACTGCGAAGACGAAGCCAGCGAGTATGCCGAAAATGTACGTTTTACAAAGGAAACGTGCAGATTTTTGCTCTTGAAGACCTTCTTGGGGCCCTCACGGGCCCTCTTGGGGCGCTCTTGGGCGTCTTCGGGGCCTCTTCAGGTTTTTTTTACCATCTGTACGGCCCGCGTGGCCTGTCGTGGGCCATTTGGAAGCGGCCCGGGGCAGTGCCGGGGGGCCCGTGACCCCCCAAAGGTTCGGGGGGGCGGCCATGGGGGATGTCGGCACCGATTTGGGCCCCCCCCTGGCCTACTCAGAGAGAGAGAGAGAGATGTATATATATATATACACACATACATACTCCGTGCAAGACAATATCATGCACACGCGTCGTACCAGCGCGGGCGATCTCTAGGCCACAGAACGGATGCGCTCGGACTTCGGTGCGCCACGGGCCATCCCAACAGACCGACCGCCCCGCTTGGGCCCGCGTGCCTGACCGTGCCTGTTATACACGTGCACTTGAACATGTGCAGAAATCACACACGTAGGCTGTAACCCAAATTGTTGCAGAATGCATCTGCGGGCCGGGAGGGATACCCGTTCCCGCGACCTCCACCAGCCGAGGATAGGGGAGAGGCCCGTCGGGCGATCCTAAGCTACCTTGGGACCGTTTTTTGGCCCTCTTGGGGCCCTTTTCAGGCTCTGTTGGACGCGCTGTGGCTGCTTTGGAAGCCCTTCTGGAGCCATCTGCAATCTCTCAAAATGCAGAATCCCAAGCATACTTAAAGCACGTTAGAAGCTAATCCGTGTTGACTGAATTTGGTAATCTGGAGGTCCTCTTGCCTTGGGGTCCTCGTGCATCTCATGTGGCCCCTTTGGGCCGTCTCGGAGCCGTCTTGTAGCCCCGGGAACCCTCTTGAGCTCTCTCAAAGTCGCGCGGGAGCCATCTTGGGACGCCGTGGAGAATGCTAGGGGCTGTCCTGGGTCCCCATAGAGCCTCTGGAGAGAGCCCGAGGAAGCTCCGGGGGCGCGCGGGTTCTCTGGGAGAGCCCTTCAGGCGAGGGGCTAAATTTCGCGTACGCATACTCGGAGTTTCATGATAAGCGTCGGGGGGGCGCTACCTCCACCGACAGCCCCACTTCGACCCCCGTCGCGGGAAGCCACCGCGCCGCCGAAGGCGCTCCGACCCCCGTCGCGGCGCGACGACGAGGCGAGGTTGACCCCCGTCGGGGAGGCACTCCCCCACGCTTATATTAAGAAGCCCAGAGTACGGTTGTGGATGTCATGACAATGGACACTCTAACAATCCGATCATTGAGTTACAGATGTGTTTAGAATGTGCAAAGCATGCTCTAAAAATGTGTCAACCATGTTTTTTACATATTGACAATATCTTTGAAACATATTTTAGACATCTGGAGAGGATTGGCAGCATGCTTCCTCTCCATACATCGACTTCCACAAGAATGCGGGAGATGACAAGCCGTGATCTGGGCCGAGGCGGCCCGTGCACACGCAGGGCGTCCACAGCACCTCTGGGGCGCGGGCCGGCGACCCTCGCGGGACGCGGGCGTGCGCGGGGGTGAGTACAGCGATGGAGGATCGAGGTCTCGCTCCTTCTTCTCTCCTTCCCTCCTCTTTCCTCCTGGCTCCCTCCTCATTCCTCCTCCTTCCTCCTCCTCCTTCCTCCTCCCTCCTCCGTCCTCCTTCTTCCTCCCTCCCTCCTCCTCCTCCTGGACGACGCGTGCAGAAAGGTTCACACCTGGGTGAGCGCTGCACCCCAACAAAATGACAATGTGTTGGGCCACCTTCAGGGGACCACTCGATTACTCAGCCATCCGCGCTGGGCGCTCCGTTTCCACAACGGACGGCTGGACTTCTGAGTTGGCGAAGCATACGAACTCAAATCGATCCAACAGGAGACGGGTTCCCTGGAACTGAACCCAAACCGCATGATTGAGCGCTTCGGCGCGCGAATCGAAGTCTGGTCGCCGTCCCGTGCCCATCCTCTCGCGGGAAAGCGGTGGTGGGACCCGCGGTAGGAGAAGCAGCAGGATGGACTGCACGCACGAGCGACTCTGGGCAACAGCGATCTTCGGAGTGCGGTTGGCCGATCGTTGCATGCGCTGCAGCAGCAGCCGCTTGCTCGCTTGGGCTTGCGCCCCGAAGGCTGCGCACCAAAGGTCACTCTGACGAAAGGCCGCTCATGCGTGCAGCCGGCCGACGGAGGGATGAGTCGGGGAGGAACAACATCAATGGCACACAACCGAGGGGAACCCATCAACGGTTCGCTTGACGGAGCACCAAGCCTTCGAACGAAAACAAAGGAGGAACATGGTGAGGGGGGGACTCTGCACATACCCGTCGGTCGGAAGAAATAGGTAGAAATATTACATATGAAAACGTTGAAAATAGATTGCGTTCCGTCCGCCCCCCAAGGAGGACGGAAAAGGTAAAGCCACTCGATCACTGAAGTAGGAAGGCGCTTAAAGTATACTGAAATATGGGAATCTATATAAATATACTTTCAACGACCGATGGGTACACCGATTCTGGCTAGGACCATCCTGAGCCCAGGATCGGTGCATACGCTCTCCTGGCTTGGCCAGGGAAGCATCTATGCACCGATCCTGGGCCCAGAATGGGAATGGACAGGATCAGTGCATGTGCATACTTCTCTTCGCGGTGGAACAACGGGGGACGTGAAAGTCCATGTGCAGGGACGAACAGCTGGGGCAGTGGAGGGGGAGGGCAGGGGAGAGAGAGGGATTTCTTGTATTACATCTACGGCCAATGGCCACGATCAGGTGGGCCAGAGGGTAGAAAGGTCGAGACCCGGATCTCTTCGGCTTGGGGGTCCGCTGCCGACATGTATCCGATTCTCGCTCTTGCGTGGTCCAGCGAGAGGGAATGCATACCCGCGCCAGCTTGGACAGCCGAACACTTCAAGATATAGTGAGACAGAGAGAGGGGACGAGGAGAGATGATAGAGGAGGGATCTTTCCATTCTCCTTCATTCCTTCAATCCCTCCCCTACATCCCTCCCCCTCAAAAATCACCCCCCAGGGAGAATCCTAGAGCACGCTTGGACCAGTGCCAGAATTCTAGACGCTTCGCGTACTCCCACCAGCCGCACACCTCTCGCGGGGTCGACAGCAGTGGCCGCCCACCCCCCGAGACCGCAGCAGGCAAGGGGGCGACACGTGCGGCCCAGCCAGATCAGCGGACCGCTGCATGTAGCTCAGCCTCGTCGTGGCGTGGATGGCAGTCATGGGACACGTGGGGGCACCAAGGTGCGTCTTGGACCGAGACAGACTGGAAGGCGAAGGGCAAACGCTATTCTCCCAGAAGAGATCACCCGTACGCGGACAAGCTTCCACGAGGTTGGGACTCCTGATCCAGATGACGGGGACGCAGCGAGGGGACCGTCCGAGACTGGCCCCCCCCCCAGCTAGCGAGGGAACACTCACCGCCGTGGCTGGCACCCTCTACTCAGGAGTGCCCGCAACCTTGGCACTGGGCAGCTCCCGAAGGGCTCCAACCGTGACGACGCCTCCCTCGAAGGCAGTCAGCAAACCGGGGATTGCCACGGCACCGATCGTGCAGCCTGCTGTGTACAGCACGCACCACCACCCACCCCCCTTCGTTTCCTCTCCGCCCGGCACTCGCCGCCCCCCCCCTTAGACAGTTTCTCCTGCAGCGCCCGGCCTTGGCAGCAATACCCTGTGCTACCGCCGCTGGGGCGGAAGGGCACCAATGCCCTTGCGCTGCGCAGATAGACAGCACAGCCCACGCTGGATTCGTGGACCTTGCCAGGCCTCTCCTCCCCTGCGGCCGACTGGGACCTCTTCGTCTGCCGCACGGGACCACGGCCCCTGCCTCCCTCGGTGGAGGCCACTGCTAGCGCGGGCTCTGGGGTCGTCTGTGTCACCCCCCCAGGACAGACCCCCTTTGGACGGCAGTGACGGGTGGCTGAAATAACCCACCTCCTGCGCTCCACCTTTTTCACAGCACAGTGAACGGCAGTGGTTGGTGACCGACATTACCCACCGCACCAGTGCCGCGTTTATCTTGAAGTTCGGTGCAGGGATGTCGCGTGTATCTGTATCTGTGTCCTGCGGCTTTTGGCTGGAAGACCAGCCTGACGGTGGGGACGGACTCGGAGGCAATGATCACTCAGTGCAGGACGCAGGAGCCCAGTCACTGGTCTCGATCGCCCCCCCCCAGATTCATGTCTGGCGCAGACCCACAGACAGCGGCCCCCCCTGTAGTTGAGGCAGGCCCAGGGCCGACGCCAGCTGCGTCCACGACGGCTCCCGGCACCGCGGAGGACGGCAGCAATACAGATGGGGATGGACCCGTCCTGACGCCACCCTGGACCCCGTCCTGATCCCTGGTCCGTTCACGCCTCCCTTCTCCCCCGCAGGGGGGCAGGCCGCGAGCGCGAAGCTCCAGCAGCAGGTTCCACCCAGCCCCCCAGAGGCCAAGAACGAGGCTCCCGTAGGGAACCAAGAGGCGTCCGTGGCGAGGTATCTGGAGAGAGTCAACGCGTGGCCATGGAAGTGGACGGCGCTGGCCACCCACCAAGGGGGCAGGCAACCAGACCCCCCCTTGCAGCAACGGGTGCCTCACCTCAGAGACCGCTAGGCGACGGTGGAGAGCGGACTCCGAGCAGCACTGTTCCAGAGGGCCGTCCAACCCTCTTCCTCCTTCAATACATCAGTGACAGCGGCTTTTGGCTGCGCCCCCCAGGTTCCTCCTCCTCCTCTTGACCTGGTTCTGTTTTCAGCGGCTTTTGGCTGCGCCACCATTTCTCCCCCTTCTCCTCCTCTCATTCACAACGACTCTGCGGCTTTTGGCTGCGCCCCCCCCCGATCAGCAGCTTAGATTGCATCGGACGCAGAAGAGCGTCCGCCCTGAGACCTGCCCAGGGAGTATTGGTCCCTCGTCGCCGACCCAGCCATGGTTCTACTAAGTACGCCTTGGCTCGTCAGCACGCAGCCAGCAATCGGTACAGCCCAACAGCTTGGCAGATGACAGCCACCCGTATGCCCTGGCGTCGGAGGCATCTGGCTTCTGCATGGGCAGCGTGGCAGGTGTTGAGTGGGTGTGGCTGTCCTCCACACACATGGTGATTGGCTTCGTCAGTGAGCGGCCCCGCGTCGAGTGGTACAACCTTCCGCGGTCCAAATTCGCGTCGCTCCTCTCGGCACAGCCACAGCCCCAGCCCTCGCCAGACATTGCATCGTTGTGCCCCCGAGATGCGTGAGTCGGATACGATGTAAGTGGACTGGCTACCTGCTGGTGGTTGTCAGCCTCGTGCGCGCACACCAGTGGTCTCTTATTGAATGGTGCCCCGACACCCCTCAGTGACACCAGTGCACAGCGGCTTTTGGCTGCGCCCCCCTCCTGCCTGTGGCCCGCCCTGGTCCGTCGCCGACCCGGCCATGGTTCTACCACAAGGACGTCTTGGCCCGCCGTCAGCACGCCGCCTACGAGCAGTACGGTCCAGCAGCTCGGTAGCCGCCAGCCATCGTCTCGCCACCGGCGTCGGGGTGGCAGCGGGCAGCGTGGCAGGTGTGGATGGGTGCAGCTGCCAGCCATGCACTCAGTGACCCCGGTGATTGGCTTCGTCAAGTGAGCGGCCCTGCATTGAGTGGTTCAGCGTTCTGCAGTTCGTGGTCGTTCTCTTCAGAACAGCCCGGGCTACCAGCCCTCGTCAGTACTTTGCATCGTTGTGCCCCCGAACTGCGTGAGTCGGATACGATGTGCACGCACTGGCTATCGGCTGGAGGTGGCTCAGCCTCGTGGGCGCACACCAGTGGTCTTTCTCTACTGGATGGCGTTTTGACGCGGATAAGCCACACCTTCGCTCCAGTGAGCCTTGATGAGTCAGGCCTCTTCCGCCGAAAACCACCGTTAACCCGGGGTGCCGCAGTGAGTCTGAGTTAGTCGCTCGCGCTCGCACTCTCCCCCCTCTCTTTTTCCGAGGTCTAGGCCTGTCAGTGGGTGCTCGCACGTGGGCTTCGCTTGGTCATTGGCCATTCGGATCCGCGCATGCGGCCCTACAGTACCCCGCCGCCCATACTGGCCTCGCTTCCGAAAGTGGTTCGGCTGGAGTTTGGCGCCGCAAGGGCGACTTCTCCCCCCCGTTCCGCTGCCGGTCGCCGCGCCTCTGCTTCCCCACCTGCCGGGATGTCTGGGTCAGTCACCCGCCGACGCCGTCCTGCGTCTGAATGAAGGGCATTTTGTCCCCTGGCATGTGCATGCGCCACTGCGGCCAATTTACATCGTACCGCGCCTCGGACGTTGTGCCCGCTCCCTGACCGTCGCCTTGGAGCCGCGAGCCAAAAAGTATTCCCACCAGCTGCCCGGACTCCCTGCCCGCCGCCTGCCTCTTCGCTTGCGGCCGCGACCGAAAAAGTATTCCCACCAGCCCATCCAGAAACGACGCCCAGGCGAGTAGAGGGCCGTCCTGAGGGGCCTTTCGGCGTCTTGGGTGCCTCGGGGGGCATCTTTAGGCCGCTTGGGATCCTCTTGGGGGCCTCCTGGGGGCCACTTGGGGGCCTCTTGGGGCCATCTTGGAGCTCTCTTTGGGCCTCCTGGGCGCTTCTTGAAGGATGTCGGTCAACGCCCCCCCCTCAGGAGCACCCTAAATCGTCTCCTGGACCCATCTTGGAGCGTTCTTGGAGCGCTCTTGGGCGCTCTTGGGACCGTCTCGGGGCTCTCTTGGTCCCGTATTGGACCCCTGTTGGGCCGTCTTGGAGCGATGTTGAGGCCTCGGATGGGCATCGGAAGCGCAAAAGCGATAACGCCAAAACATTGACTCTGGTTTTGAAGCATTTTGGCCTGGTCGGGGCGTCATTGGGGAGCTCTTTTGGCCACTTAGACCCGTCTTGGAGCGATCTTGGAGCGTCTTGGAGCATCTTCGGAGCTATATCGAGGCATCTCGCGCTATCTTGAGCCATCTTCGATGCTATCTTGGGCTGCTCTGAGGACCTCATGGAGCCATCTTGGGCCATCTTGGACGCTCTAACTACCCGCGGCCCCCCCCGTCCAGGTCCAGGGGAGGGGGTAGGGGGAGGGGTAAACCCCTCCCCGAAGGGGAAGAGGGAGGGGTGGAAGAGGAAACGCCCTAAACCACCGACGCGCAGAGGGCTGGTGGGATTCCAGGGCGGGTCGAACCGCTTAAATGACTGAAAACATCGAACCTCGATCCTCGACATCCCTCCTCCTTCATCTCTCATCTTCCCGCGCCCTCCTCTCATTCGCTCCCCCTCCTGCGGCGACGGCGACGGCGACGGCGACGACGACGACAGCGACGGCGACGACAGCGGCGGCGACGGCAGCGACAACGGCGGCGGTGGCGACCACGCTGACGGCAAGCACGGCGACGGCGACGACGGCGACGGCGGCGTCCTTGGGTGTCCGATGGTCCTCGGCGTGGCCCGGCGCCCGCCCGGGCGCCATCACGCCGCGCTTCTTGGACTTCAGCAAGTACCTGGGGCGGGCGCAAATCCCAGGGAGGGAGGAGGCGGGGGAAGATAGGGTCGGACTTGATTGGGGAGGACACGCGAGAGGACACAAGACCCTTCCCAAGGCCACATCGCCGTTGGAGTGTAAGAAGGCACGTGTCGCGTGGCACAGGGCACAAGGGTACCCTTGAGCTGGCAGGGTCGACCTACTAATCTGGGCCGACTGTAGAGGACAAACAACCGGCAGGAACACAAGCTGTCTGAGAACGGCGCGGACTCGTTTTGGCGGCGCTGGCCCCTCTCCTCCCCGCATCCCTTGGCGTTGTCTCCAGCGCGATCCCCCACGCACTCCGCGCTCCAGGGAAGGGGTATTCGGAAGGGGGTTCAGCGTCGACTCAAGAAATCTGCGCGGACCTCAAAAGTTTGTGGCAGCTCGAAACGGCCGGGGAAAGGGCGGGCATGAGGCTCACGATTCGAGCCCGACACTTGGACTGCTTGCCAGCCGAGAAGGGCACAGTACGCAGTGCGACACATTCGTGCGGCAACCGGCCGATTTCAGGAGGAACGAGAAGGTCCGGTTGGACGTCTTCAGCACCAACGCCCTCTCGGAGAGGTCCGGCATCAAGCTCACCTGCGCAGTCCAAGGCACAACGTGTGGGACAATTCTGCGGCGCCTCCTGACATCGCCGTGCATCCCTCTCGCAAGAGCGCCGCCTCCATCTGAAATCTTTGCCAGGCTGAGAACTGCAAGACAACAACACTCACCACCACAATATTTGTCCTGCTAATCCTCCCACTCCTCCGCCTCCTCCTCCCTCTCCACCTCCCCTTCCTCCTCCGCCTCTTCCTCCTGGTGTGTGCAGGAGCTGCTCTCTTGTGGGGTGCAAGTCGCCCTGCGGAATTGGCTGGCTGAAATATAGAGGGTGAGTGCGAAATCCTCGTCGACCGTTGTTGATTCTCTAAGAATAGTAACCCGAGGTTCGTTATGTTGAGATGATGCGCCTCAATTCATCATCTTATCGCGGAGTTGTCGGTCCCCCCCAAGCTGTATTATTATCTTTCCAGAATGAAGACCCAGAATCATAATTCCAGAATAAAAAACCGTGGCTGATGTTCTCCCTGTGGGGTTGGGGGGAAATGGGGGGAAACAAAGATATGGTAAACCAAATCGCCCCCCCCCCCGGTTCGATGACTATCATTCCAGAATAATAAACCCCAATTTATAATGCCCCGGTAAGAAATAGTAAACCAAATCGACCCCCCCGGGCTCGATTATTATCATTCCGGAATAATGAACCCAAGTTTATAATGTCCTGGGAATAACAAACCAGGGTCGATATTCGAACATGATAATTCTCACCCTGGTCACGGGGGGTTGGGGGGAAAATAATTATTAGTATCATTCCAACATAATAAACCCAATTCATTGTCTTGGAACATACTGAACCCCAGTTAATATTCCCGGAGCATTATAAACCCAATTTGATATCTATTTGGGGTCCATCCTGGAAAAATATGCTGCAGGGTCATTCCATGGTGACGTGGGCCCTGATGCATGACACTGTGTGGACCGTGCATGAAGGGGCCCAGGGGTACACAAATAAATTGACGCAAATCCCAATCTTTCTGGGTCACGTGACTGGCTCTGAAACTTGACCTCGACGTCCGGGAACTAAGTGCAGCAATTATCACGACTCTCATCTGCAAGAAGAAGCTTGCCCGATTTCAGTAAGACAGTCCGAGATGAACAACTACGAGGAGAACCTCGAAGAGCGAAGGAGTCGGGTGACACGTCGAATGCTGGTCCAAAGCAGATCGCGCTGTGGTGCCGGATCATGAATGCCGTTGTGACCGACGAGAGTCACAACCCGTCTAAAGAGGCCTTGGACACAGCTTGTGCCCATCAGGCTGCGATCAGCAACCCGAGCGAGTCGAATGGCAACGCATTTCTGCGCAACTTTCGCAAAGCTTTCGATACACATTCTTGTGAAACTGCACACGGTCGTCGCGCTCGACAGCAATGAGTTTCGTTTGACCGATCCCCATCCCCGGCGGCGTGGCCTGAGCCCCACTGTCCGATTTACCCCCCTGGATGGGGATATAGGTCGTCCCTTTCGGGTTTCGAGGGGTGTATCTCCAACTGGGGTGGTAATTTGGTGGGGGTCTCGAAGGGGATGGGGGATTGGGATGGGGATCGGTTAAACGATACCGAAGCAAGCATGTCCTCCACGCCGTCGTCGCGTGCCTGGTCGCCATTGGCGGCAGGGAGAAGCAGGGGCAGGAGGCCAGCGGGTCCTTGGTCCGCGAGTTGGAGACCAACATCGACAAGCTCAAGGAGATTAGCGAGCAGTGGCCTCTGAGGTCCGGGTAATGTAAAGTTTGGTCGTAACGCCGAGGGCGGTCGTTCCAACGTTTAGTGGCCCAACGTTTCGACTTAACGGCGCCGTCTGTGCCGTTCAGGTAATTCCAGGGGCTCCCAGCTGTTGACGAGCGTGATTGCAAATTCTAACGTTTTGTCGTAACGGTGCTGGCGGTGGCCGTAATTCTAACATTTTGTCGTGACGGCGCCGGCGGTGGTCGTTCCGGTAATTCCTGTGGCTGCCGCTCCTTTCCCTCCTCCTCCTCCTCCTCCTCCTCCTCCTCCTCCTCCCCCTCAGCCTCCTCCTCCTCTCCGTCTCGTGCATGTGAGTGTAACGTTCGCTTTCAAGCTTGATTCCCTCGAAAAGTCCAGGGAGGTCGTTAGGGCGTCTGCGGGCGTCCCGCTCTGTGGGCCACAGTGTGTCTGTGCGACGGTGTTCTGTGGTCGGAGAGCGTGAGAGGCCTGTGCGGCGGCGGCCCCCTCGTTCTTCGCCTGAAAGTCGGGGCACGGGCCAGGGAGGACGCCATTGCTACCGTGGCCTATGTGCCACCAGCTCACCCTTGGGAGACCTGTCCACAGATGCGCTCGTTCGTTCGTTCGTTCGGGTGCGCCGGCGTCGACGTCCGCTGGAGGAGGAGGAGGAGGAGGAGGAGGAGGAGGAGGAGGTCAGCCTCTGCTTCTGCTCGACCTCCGCCTGCCTCCGCCAGCGGAGCCGCCCACCGTTCTGCCTCCGCCGGCCTCCGCGGGCCTGCCGCCGTGGGCAAACGGGCAACTCCTCGGTGCCTCGGAGCCGCCAGGATCTTCGGAGCACCCTAAAATGAAGGAGCCCCAGGACACACAAATAAATACACACAAATAAACAGATTCCCCATATGTTCCCATATTTTGGGGGGTTTTTGTCTTCCCCCCACTTCCTATATTTTCGCATATTTTCGGGGGAATCGACGATTCATTGTGTCTGTGTGTTTCTTTCCCTCCTGATAAAAGTGGTGGTGCAAATTTGCCCTGGGGCATCTCGTGGGTTGCGCGCTGACAGAGGTCTCGAGGCGAATCTCGAAGTCTCGAGCCGAAGACCCTCAAGGAGGCCCAAACTGCCTCGATACTGGAAACTCGAGCCTCGAGCCTCGAAGTGCAGGCTCTTGGATCCTGGTGCTCCTCCCGCCCCCCGCGGCCTTCGAGCTCAGCTCGGCGTGGAACTTCTCGAACTCTGAGCTGGCCAGGCCGCCGCGCAGGTCTTCCACGTCGTCGAGGAGCAGCCCCGTGGCGCCGCCCTTGCCGCCGCAGACCTGGATCGTCAAGTTCTTCGCCTCGGCCGCCGCCCCCCCGTGCCGCCGTGGTGGCCGGCCCGTTCGGCGACTTTGATGGGTGGGGTTTTGCAAGGGCGTGGTTTGCAACCCGCGCCTGGACGGGGGGGCGGGTGAGGACCTCGGCAGAAATCCCTGCCGCGCCCCGACGAGAGCTCATCAAACCTGTGGCGCAACGCGGTGACCACTAAGCCCTAAGCCCCAACGGCGCAGATCTCAAACCACACCCTGGCGTAACCACACCCGTTGTAAGCGCCGACCCGTCGTCCGCCGTGGCCGCCGCCGCCGTCAGATGCAGCAAGGTGGCCTCCTACGTAACTAGCCCCAACATGGAGGACGACGACGTCGCCGCGGTCAAGTTGTGAGCCGAGTATATGCAAAGAGAAGCGCACCCTCTTGGAGGGCAACGTTTCTCAGCACCAAGTGTTCGAACTCACTCCCCACAGGCCTGGAGATTTTGTGCTTCGCAACGAAATTTCTGGGCTAGTGCCCGTGTGCCAGCTGTCTGATCTTTCTAATACCCGCTATACTTTTCTGGGCGCGGCCTGAAAGGTCAAAGTCGTCGTGCACGCGCCCGCTGCATCAGGAGTCGCAGCTTGCTTGCTGGGAGGAGGGAGAGGCATGTCTGTCCAACCGATGCAAGTGACCAGGAAAGATACAAGCTGCACGATTGATCCGACCAAATCCCGTTTTGCCATCGGCCACTGGTTAGGCGGCCCATATCTCGGAACCCGAAATGACAAGCTCATCTTGGGTAACACCGGCCTGACAGCCACACACACACACATTAGGCGCGGAAGGCTGAGCGAACAAGGCTGAGGCCGCTGGGGCAGGCGGGTGCATAAACGCGTATTGCATCGTTCCGGCCTCACCCCCACAAAAGAAAACCACATGACTCCCCGATGGATGCCGGCACGGCCACGGAGACAGGGAGCGGGAGAAGGGAGGGCCTCAGGCCTCCGAGGCAGAGGCGAGCCCGGCGATCAGCGACAGCTGAGCTCCTGGCGTCGACTTTCAGCACCCGCTCGTACGGCTTGCCGTTGGTGGCCACCTTCGAAAGGGCCGCACCCCCCCCCACAGCGCGAAGGCCCAAGCGGAGGGGGGGGGGGGAACAGGAGGAAGGATCAGGAAAGGAACAGGAGGACGGAAGTGCGCCCAATAATCAGTAGCAGCAAGCCACCGCATCGTCATCCGAGGGCTTTGCCTGTGCGGCTGTGTTTCTGGACCGCACGTTTGGGACGATCCCCTGCAACAAACAACACCAGGGCGGCGGCAGGAAAACAAAATCCAAAGCGTACAACCAAATTACCGTCGCCGACGGCGTCAGAACCGCACCCCCCTCGCTGGCGGCCTGCCCTCCTGGCGTGGCCAACAAGCCGCACGTGGAACAAGAGCCCGAAAAACACCCGTGCTGAATCGCTTGCCCGGCACGTGACCGTCCCAGTCGCCCTCCATCGCGCGCAGCCAGCGGCTCAGCACTCCCAGGAGCCTGTTTTTAATTGTGCGCGATAATGAGTGTGACTGGCCCCATCCCCCTTTTGGTCACATCATGATTCGCGCCGGCGCCGATTGGGAATTAGCCATCCCTAAGATTCCCCAGACAGCGCCAGAGCGAAATGTGAGGTGACTGGACCCCTCCACCCTCCCCTCCCGCGGTTACGCCCACTACTGCAAGGGGGTCAACAAACTGTCCCCAGCGGTGCAGGGGACAACTCTGATGCGGAGATGGCGCAGTGACAGAGGCAACGCAGGAGACGGCATGAGGCATGAGAAGTACGCTGCATTTGTGGCCCTCCCGTGCCCCTCGCTCGCCCTCGTGCGAGTGTGCGCGGCCGTGCGCTGCACCTGGCTGCGCCGGGGGAGACGCACGACACCGTTCGCCCGTGAGGCTGGCTGGAAATCCAACTCGCCTGCCAGGGTGCGCGGCCGAGCGGCGACTGGGCAAAACGCCCGGCAGAATTTTCCCAGCCGCCCCCTCCTCCGATTCCGACCCCTCCTCCCCCAAATCCTCCACGTCGCCCTTTTTTTCTCGCCATGAGGACCTGGACCCCTCAAGGATCGACCCCTTCCCTGGGACCAGCTTTCCTTCCGAGTCGTTTTCCGACGCTCCACAGGCCTGGCAAGGGCACCCAATCGCAGACCTTGTGCTGATCCGCCAATCCGTTTGCGGGGCCACCAGGCTGCGAGGTTCGGGCCTCAGCAGCGGAGGTATTTGTCCCGAGGTGGTCCCAGTCACAATTCTACTGCGGTTTCAACTTTCCAGTTTTCAATGTTATAGTTTCTAGTTATACTCTCTGCTTCCTATTGCAAACTGTTGCCGGACCTGTGCTCGGGAGGCCAAAAACCGCCCTGGGAACCACCCCTGGATCGCGCTGCCTGAATATATATATATATATATATATATATCGGAGGCGCTGTAGAAGAAGGCGCCGTGCGCATCATAGATGCGATAGCACATGTATAACGGCCGTCGGTAACGCACCTCCAACGGAACAGGTGTGAGCCATGACGCCACGCAGAGAAAATGCTGCCCGTCAAAGCTCTGAACTGACGCATTTGGCGACCGACAGCCAAGCATCCAGCCCTTCTTGCCGCAAAGCGCGCAAGGCCAGTGGTCCGCCCGACGCCCGGCATGCCAGGTCACGCGCATCACTTCCAGAAACATCTCGGTCTGCCGCGCCTCCGTGCGTCGAAAGGGCGCGCCAATGTGACCGTGCCCGGTAAAAGGACAAATTTCTGAATGGCGCTGTCGCCCAGCATGGTGGCGATCTTCCCCATCAGCAGGCCTCCGCATCAGCATGGATATGACTGGCTTGCTGCCGCAAGTGATCAGGACACAGAGATTCGGCATACTACTGATGTGCGAGTGCGGTATATCCGCAAGTTTTTGCAGGCTACGGGCCCGAGCGTAATCCAAATTCAATCGCTCGGCCTTGTTGAACCACGTGGCGCGCAGACAGCACATCAATTTGGCCGCGGCGCATACTTAGAATCTCCACGCCTTCCGCTCTCTGCTTTTGATTCCATGCTTCCAGATCCTGCGAGGCGCGTTGAAAGCTTTCTGCGCCGTACCGACCGAACTGATGGTTGTGCTCGTCGCCGCTGTCGCCGCTAGAGCTAATCATCCCGCCCAAGTAGATCATGCTGTCTGTCGGCACGACGGGCTGGTCATCTGGTCGCAGGGCGCGCGTCTGGCAGCCGACTATGAAAACCAATTGAAAGCCAGGCCGCACATGACCTCCCGTCATCCGCGCGGCCATAGGTTGCGCCATCGGCCGCCGAGAATAGAACCGCGCCCGATCGGTTGCGACATCGGTTGCGCCCTCGGTCGCCGAGAATCGAAACCCGCCTCCTATTGGTTGCGCCATGGGTTGCGCCCTCGGCGGCCGATGATACAGACGCCTCCTGTTGGTTGCACCATAGGTTGCGCCCGCGGCGGCCGATAATAAAGTCGTCTCCTATTGGGTGCGCCATAGATTGCGCCCTCGGCGACCAAGAACAGACCCGTCTCCTATCGGTCGCGCCGTAGGTTGCGCTCTCGGCCGCCGAGAAAATAACCGCTTCTCATCGGTTGCGCCATAGATTGCGCCGTCGGCCACCGAGAATGAAACCGCGTCCGATCGGTTGAGCCATCGGTTGCGCCCTCGGCGGCCGAGAATAAAACCGCGTCCTATCGGTTGCGCCAAAGTCGCCCTCGGCGGCCGCGAATAAACCGTCTGCTATCGGTTGCGCCATAGGTTGCGCCCTCTGCCGCCGGGAATAAACCGTCGCGTAACGAGTGCGACTTGTCAGTTCAGTCCAGATCACTTCATGTCACTTCAGTCCAGGTTACATCGCGGAACACAGATTCGCGTCGCGCCCGAAATCAATCTGCCCCACATGCCCCAGCAGCGGGGGGCTAGGCCCGGGATATGTAGCGCGCGATGTGGACTTGGCCCAGGCGGGTGGTTGTAGTGCGCGCTGCCGATCGATGGTCCAAGATTGCCGCGTTATTCCATGGGCATGCGTCGATAAAGCTCCTGCCAACTATCGGTAGATCGGCCATCGGTACATGCAACAGTGGCGCCGGACGCGGTCGGAACGCACATGAAAAGCGCACCGCCGCGCGCGTCGTGGAGCGAACGTCGCGCGCGCCGCGCACTCGTGGCCCCGCCAGCTCCGAGGATAACATCAACGGACGTCAGACGCCGCGACAGATCGCGCCTATGCCAATGAAACGGCAAACGATCCATCAGAACGCCCGCGTGAGTACGGAGCGCAGCTACATCGCATCGAAATGCTTGTCACCACGTGGACCATAGACGCAGAACGCTGGCAATTCTCCTCCGTCGATCCTGGGCTCCACGATAGTAGCCCTGCATAAGTTCAAGGTGCAACCAAGTGCGCCTCTCCCGAATCTAGGTGACATTGAGAAAGCAAGGCCAGCGGCTTCTTGATTGATTGTCTGGGTCCCCAGATTGGGTAACTCGGTCGCTTCAGTTCGTGATGCTTCAGGCTGGATTCGATCTGGGCGTCTCTCGTAGAAAAAACCATGCTCAGCTCCTCCACTTGGACCTGATGTTCATCCGCATGCGATTCGGTGAGGCCTTCCACGCTCCGGGAACCAATCGTAGCATTTCTCCTGCAAGGTCGTTGTATCCCCAATCCATGGTACTTGCGTGCGCTCGGAATTCTTGACCCACAGTTCATACATGCAGGAATGCCGACCGCGGGTGGAGCATCCCTGGGTTGACCTGGTCGTCAACGGCCGGGGCGACCCCGACTGTCTTCCTTGTCGACGCCGCGCTTGCCCTTCGCACTCCCTTCTTCCATGCCTGTCGATCCTTGGGCCGAGTACCTAGAGTCCCACGTTGCCCACCCCCCTTGCCATTCGCAACGCACGTTGTGGCCTTCCACCGCGACTGCAAGAGCGTGCTCCCCCCCCCACTGTGCCAGCATAGGGTGACGCCCTGTCGAAAGACATAGTGCGCGCCACTCCCCACCCCTCTGTGGAAGCCTGTTGTAAGCCCCGTCAGATATTGAAGGCCGCGCGGTCTGCAGGGGAACAGCCCTGACTCGCTCAAACCTTCCTGCCCCCACTCTTCAGGCCCAACACGTCGCAATAGCTCTACTGCGAGATCTCGAACAGTTGAACTCTGACAGTCTGCGAACCTAGTCCCTTTGAAACTCGCCTTTGGGAACTCTCTCCTTTAGGGTCCTGCCCCACCTAGGACGAAGATAAAGAGAGAGAGAGAGAGAATCCTGAAACAATTCCGTAGCTTCCCCTGAATCTTCGACTCGGGCATCCAGATTTCCAAATACCATGGTCACAGCGCGCTTCTCGGAGACGCCTGAGTGAAGTTTGACGAAGCTCTCCCCCGCCCGCTCCCCCCGTTAACGTGCAAAAGCGTTCAAGCCTATCCACCCAGATAGCGTTCAGCTTGAGGGGCTCCTCCATGCGGGCCAAGCGTGCGTTCAGCGCCTTGTTCATCTTAGCGAGCTCGCGGCAGAGCCCGGCAACGGCCGAGCTAAATGACGCGAGTTGCTGCTAAAGGAGGGCCGTCACGGCGGCCATCGTCACCAGCTCCTCTTCATCGTCGTCAATGTCCTCGTCTTTGTTCTCGGCCATGCAGGCTTAGGGCGCACGACCATCTTCATGCCCAACTCCTTCTCCGAGCAGTTGAGAATGAGGTCTTCGTCCCGTGCGCGCGAACTTCGTATTCCCCAACGGGTTCGTCGTGAGCACGCAGCGGACGGTGGTGCCTGCGAGGCGGGTGTTTTTACATCCTGCCACGGGGGATGACACGTCGGGCATCTCACTCCCAAGCTCTCCCTCGAGGTTCAAGGGAACACGCGTGTCACCACTCGAGCTGGAAGACGCCGTCGATGTTGCGAGACATCGGCAAACAAAGGGCGCGAAATCCCGGACACGGGTCTGGAAACCTTGTGGCCCAACGCAATCCGTGAGCCACACTGGCGACGGACACGTAAAACACACACCAAACCCGCGTCCCGGGCCAAGATTCCTTCGCGCATGACGCAAGACTCGCGCTCCCAAGGCCAGAATCCATGGAAACGCACACCAGGCTCGCGCTCCCGAGGCAAGAATCTCGTACTGTGCACCAGATTCGCGCTCCCGAGGTCAGAACCCTTTGCCAATTACGCAGGGTTCGCGCCTCAGAGGCCAGAACCCTTCACCAATCACGTCAGACGCGCGCTCCTGAGGCAGCGATCACGGGCACATGACGCCGGATTCGGCCGCTACCGAAGCCCAAAAACCTCCGTCAATAACACTGGGCTCGCGCTCCCGAGGCCACAATCCCAGGTGAATTCTTCGACTCGCGCTCCCGAGGCCACAGCCCTATGGTATACTTACGCCCGATGCGCACCCCCGGAGCCAGAACCCGTCAAGTTACACCAGATCTCACGCTCCCAAAGCCGAAATCCGTTGTACAAATGAGGCCAGGCTCGCGCCTCCGAGCCTGTGCTTCCCGGCAGCGATACCGGGGACACGCCCGCAGACCATACCAAACTCGCGCTCCCGAGGCCGGAACCCTCTCTGACTTGCGCCGGACGCGCGCTCCCGAGGCCACGCAGCCCGTCGTAAACCACACCAGGCTCGCGCGCCCTCGAGGTCCGAATCCTTGGCAGCTGACGCCAGACGTCGCGTTCCCGCGGCCACGGCTCTTGCTGCAAGGTACGCCCGGCTCGCGCTCCCGAGGCCGCGATCCCAAGGAGATTGAACCAAGCTCGCGCTCCCGAGGACTCGATCCCTCTGGCAAATTACAGCGGAGTCGCGCTCCCGAGGCCAGACTCCTTTTGTAAATTGTGCAGGCTCGCGCTCCCGAGGCCAGAGTCGCTTTTTAAATCACCCCAGAATTGCGCTGGCGAGGGCGCGATCCCCTCGGTAAATTACACCAGGCTCCTGCTCCAGGGGCCAGAATCCGTAATAAATCACGCCAGGTTCGCGCTCCCGAGACCAGAATCCCTAGCAAATTACGCCAGGTTCGCGCTCCCGAGGCAAGACACAACTCGTTCAACAACAACTTCAACATCTCGAGCTGTTTGCTGATTGCAATTCGCCCTCGAATGGTGTTCCCAAATGTCAGAGAAGAGAAGGGCGTCTAAGCATCCCAGCATAGCTCGGACATCTCCCAGTATGGTAGAAAGGGAGCCGGAGGCAGAGGGCGAAGCTCTGTCAGATATTACTACAAAGAGCCTGCCAAGGGCACCCAGACGCAGATTTAGACAACAAAGGAATGTTTCGCAATGCGAGAGAGTCTGGGTCCACTGGGTCCATGCCTCCCACTCCCGTCCGTCTCCATCTCGCTTCTCCTGATCCCTTGCCCCTGCATCGTCGGCAGAGGCCTTGGTGCAGGTCATGCCCTGTCGCAGCTGCTCGAGCTTCTGGGCGTACCACGCCTCGTCGTGGCCACTGATGTCCTCCTCCAGCAGGCTGATGCCCTGCGGCGACGAGGAGGGAATGAAAGGTAAAGGGACATCGTCTGAAACACGCCTGGGCCCCAGCCAATGACACATGGATGCAGGGTCGCGAGCCCGGCCTTGCCTGGGGCGTCCGGGCAGGAAGGAGGGAAGAGGAGGAGGGAAGAGGAGGAGGGAGAAGGAGGAGGGAAGATGAGGAGGAGGGAGGAGGAGGGAGGAGGAGGGGAGAGGAAGGAGGGAAGAGGAGGACGCGCTGCGACGTGCCCGAGGAGGAGGGAAGAGGAGGACCTTCCGACGTTCGGCCAAAGGTCACTCCTCGATCTCGGCCCCTCACGGGCCGTTCCAGGCCACGGGACAAGCAAAATCGATGCAGGCTGAAAACCGTCGTTGTCGTCGTCGTCGTCGTGAAGTTCTGCTCGAGGGCTCGCAGGACAATGCGCTCCTGCTTCTGTCGCTCCTGCCGCTCCTGCTGTTCCTGCTGGTGCTCCCTCTCTCGCTCCATCCTCCTCCTGAAGCTCATCCTTCCTCCAAATCCTCTACCCCTCCTCCTACTCCACCTCCTCCTCCTCCTCCTCCTCCTCATCATCATCATCATCATCATCATCGTCATCATCATCCTCATCATCCTCCTCATCATCATCCTCTCCCTCCTCTTCTTCTTCCTCCTCCTTCTCCGCTTTGTCGATCTCGTCGTAATCGCCCTCTTCCTCCTCCACCTCCTCTCATCGTCAATCATGTCATCCTTCTTCCTCCGCCCTCTTCCCTCCTTCCGCTTCTGCTTTGGTCAGGCTCTAGTGCCCTGTAGACCAGAACAGCGACGTGGTCACAAGAGAACATGCAAGCTTCAAGCACCCCTGAGAGCCTGGGGCGGAAGGGGGGAGGGAGCGTGGGACGGAGGGTGTACTGCCGCGTCAGTGATGTGTGCTGGATAAACTCTGGTCCTCCACATCTCCCTATCTGCTGATCATCATCCTCATCATCATCCTCATCATCATCATCCTCATCATCATCATCCTCATCATCATCCTCATCCTCATCCTCATCCTCATCATCATCTCCGTCATCATCACCGTCATCATCATCATCATCATCATCATCAGCATCATCATCAGCATCATCATCATCATCACCATCACCATCACCATCACCATCATCATCATCATCATCATCATCATCATCATCATTACCATTATCAGTATCATCATCATCAGCATCATCATCATCAGTATCATCATCATCACCAGCAGCATCATCATACGCAAAATGATAATCATCATCATCATCATCAGCACCACTATCATCATCATCATCATCATCATCATCATCATCATCATCATCAGTAACATCAGCAGCAGCATGCCTGCTCCTACTCCTCAGTTTCGTCTTCAAGGCCAAGAGCGCGGCGTAGTACCGCCCCGGACGGTCTGCTGCACCCCCTCCTCCTCCTCCATCTCCTCATCATCATCATCATCATCATCATCATCATCATCATCATCATCATCATCATCATCATCGTCATCATCAGCATCAGCATCATCATCAGCAGCATCATCATCAGCATCATCATCATCAGCATCAGCAGCAGCAGCACCAGCATCAGCATCAGCATCAGCATCAGCATCATCATCATCATCATCATCATGCTCATCATCATCATCCTCATCCTCATCCTCATCCTCATCCTCATCCTCCTCATCATCATCATCATCGTCGTCATCATCATCATCATCATCATCATCATCATCATCATCATCATCATCATCATCATCATCATCCCCCTCATTATCTTGTTTGCTTCTTCTGTTCCTCCTTCTCCTCATCTTCCTCCTCCTCCTCCCCACTCATGTTCTCCTCTTCCTCCATCCTCTCCATGTCATCCTCTCACTCAGTTTGTTTCTCCCTCCACCTGCCTATCCTCCTATGCCTCCACGTCTTCTGGCTCGAAGGGGCTGACTACCCCGCGTGTGTGCAGGTTCCTTGCTGCTATGGAGTCCGACGTCGTAACTCCGACCAAGACCTTCCACGACGGGGGTCTCTCGAATGATCGGCCCCGTTCCTGGGACCGATTCGCCGTGGGTGACTGTGTTATTGCCCCAGGGCCCGAGAAGCCCCCGCAGGCCCGAGCATGAAAGGATCGTCTGTCCTAAACTCTTCCCGCGGCGCATGGGAGCCTGTGGACGAAGAGGGGGGTGGGCGTCAAAGTGCGGCTGTCCCCGTGCGTGTCGACGTGGACACGAGGTCACACCCCGGCCCCAGGCGCAGCGGCGCCAGAGGGAGAAAGAGGGTGGGAGGGCGGGACAAGCGGTCCCCCCTGTGACCCAAGCGGCTGCGGAGAAGACAAGGGGAGCAGAGGGGGAAGTGAGACGGATGCATGCAAGTGCGGAGGGAGGGAGCGGAGAGACTAACTACGCTTCACATTTGTGAATCCGCGTTTTTGACCACGTATGTCTCATCCAGCGTGGAACGATCTTCACCGTTCGACAGCGGAGAGCGTTCAGAATTGGGCTGGTTCAGCCTGCTGGTGCAACTTAACCTTGAGCGCCCGCGCGGGCGCTGCCGCCGCGTCGAGAATCCGCGCCAAAAGCGCACCATACTGCATGGAAGGAGGAGGGAAGAACATACACATATTAACTTCGGGAAGTCCACGCGGACTTCTGGGGTCGGCGCTTGGCGCTGGGGGGCTGCGACAGTGGCGCCGCCACGAGAGCGTCCAGCTCCGCCGCCCGAGGAGATTCCGAGAACTGGGAGGTCCGCGCACACCTCCTTGAGTTCATGCGCAGCTGCTTCTCTTCGTTGTCGAGAACCTGCCGTATCCTCCCAATCGTCGTCACCGTCGTCGCTGTCGGCGTCCGTCCTGCCACGTCGTCGGGTTGACTCAGCGACCTGCCACGCGGTGCCTCTCATCAATTACCATTGCCGGAGGCGATGCAAACTGCACGGTCGCTTCACCCCTTTCTCGGCGACTGCCACGGGTGTGGTTTGCAAAAGGTATGGTTTGCAACCGGCACCCTGGGGGGCACCCTGGGATGCGGGCGAGGATCTCGACAGAGCACTCCGCCGCGCCCCGAGGAGTGCCCCACAAGGACAGTGCCTTGCCCCCCGGGCCCCAACGGCGCCGATCGCAAGCCACACCTCGGCGCAACCACACCCTTTGTAGTCGCCGACGTTTGCCAATGCACCTCTGACGTGCACGGCCTCGCTCTCTCTCTCTCTCTCTGCCGTGTCCGCCAGGGGCCTGCTCCACTCCGCCGCCCTGCCGCGAGGTGCTCTTGCCGAACAGCTTGAGCGAGCCCTTGCTGAGCCAGCCCTTGCTGGTGGCCTGCGGCGGCCGCAAGAGGCGCGAGCGGAGCAGGCCGACGACGAGTACCTCGGACCTCGAAGTCGTCGTCCACCTCCTGCCACTCCCTCCCCTCCTCCCCCCCCCCTCCTGCTCCCTTTTCCTCCTCACTGTTCCTCCTTCCTCCTTCCGCGTGCCCTCCTTACTCCTCCCCGTCTCGATCCTTCGTCCTCCGTCCTCCTCCTCCCGTCCTCCCCGTCTCAATCTTCCTCGCCCTCGTTCCATCTGACTCCTCCCGTCTCGATCTCCGTCGTCCTCCTCCGCGTGTCCTCCGCCTCCTCTGTCCTCCATCCTCGTCCTCCTCTATCGTCCTCTTCCTCTTCCCCCTCCACCTTCACCCTCGTCCGCGCCGCCGTCCTCTGCCCCACCCCACCCCATCCACCCCAAGAGGGGGAAGAGGACAGAGGGGTAGTCAGCAATGGTGCGCTCACGCCATATCGGGCACATACCCTATCCATGTCACCCCTGGCCATGGAACTGCGTTCCCTCGATTCGCAGAGTCCACTGTCGAATAAGACACGGATCCAGATGGGGCCGCTTTGTCCTGACACGTGGCGAACGCGAGCTCGGGATCACGACTTTCGCTGATGCAATCTTATGGCCAGCGCCCAAACTGCTCCTCGGGAGACCAAGGGTAACGAATTCTGCACTTGAGGATGGCACTGCGATGCGCGAACGGGCGACGCGGGATTGCGCCCCTCGAATCGACTCTCCACATAATGGGAATGGACACCCATCGGTCGGAAGAAGTGGGTAGAAACATGACGTAGGAAGGCGTTGAAGTAGATTGGGTCTCCGCCCTCCCACTGAAGAGAAGGGAAGAGGGGAAGCCACTCGATCATTGAAGTAGGAAGGCGCTCAAAGTAGATTGGCACCTGGGAATCCCAAAAATGCCTGCCTTCAACGAACAGTGGACACTCTCGAAACTTCGAAGGCTCGGGGCGAGGAACGCAGAGCCTCTGCGGCTCAACCGCGCACCCCCTCCGCGCCAGCCCCTGCGGGCAACGGCAGCCGCGCCGGCACGCCCTGCTGCTTCGCCAAGCAGAGCAGGCCGAGAGGCAGTGGGAATCCCGCCAGCCCCGTGGGTGCGGGTGGTTTCGCGGGCTTCCGTGTCCGACCCCCCCCCTCTCCCCCTTCGGAAAAAGATGTACATCCCCCCCCCCGATACTCGAGCAGGGGATCGACTACAGAATCGATGTACCCCGACATCGATTTCCCGCCGAATCTACGAAACATCCGCAGAGTGCTCCGTAGATCTACGGACTGCTCTACGCATTTCCCTCATGGCTTCGACGAGGAAACCAATTTCGGGCTAAATCAGCTCTGTAGTCGCTCCCCTACTCGAAATACCCTCCCCCTGGACGGGGTGTTCCGCGAGGAGGCGCTGGAACGTCCAACATGGCCTCAGCGACAGAGAGTGAGACTCCGTTCCCTAAACCATGCTTGCACTTACAGGGCAGTTTTTAATACATGGGATGTTTAAAAAGATATGATGTTCAATACATGACTAATGTATGAATACATGTATGTATGAACTCCTCGATGTGTTTAATACTAATTCCCTGCATTTTTAAATGCATGATCCGCACGCGGAGCATGTATTAAAAACGGCACTGTAAGGGGTGCTTACCTGGTGGTCTTTGTAACTGGGCCTGCGCGTCGGCTTGGCGGCTATGTTCTCCCCGCGCCGCTTCGCCGCCGCCCGGCATCGGTCTGGCGGCCATGCTCTCGCCGTCGCTGCCCCGTCGCCGCCCGTCTTCTGGGACGGCGCGGCGGCCTGGCGGCTGTATAGCCACCGTCGCCGAAGAGCATGGGTTCTCCTTTCTAAATTCAGATTGAAAGACACCTCCCCTTTTCCCCCCTGGACTGATCGCCTCATTTGTTCGCTAGCGTTGTTTTTGCTCTTTGATTCTGCACATCCGTCCATCTTCCGCACTCTTCCATCCGAAATCTGAATTCATACCATTCCAAGCAGTCGTTTATCGACCCCCTCGTCCTCGTCCTCTACAAAACTTACGGTGCGCGCACCCGTTTATCACAAGGCATTAAGTTCCAACAATCACTTTCAAAAAACAGGACGAAGTGCACACGTACGCGTAAGCGCGCGCGCATGCTGAAATCATTTAAACACCTCAGGTTACGTACGGGTATCACAGTCGAGTGTTTCGAAACATGTCTTAATGGAGATGATGGTTTCGCAACGGGGCATCTCAAAAATCATGCACTGCGTAGAGCTCCCCAGATGTGCATCCATTAGCATGGACCTGTCCGCCTTGAGTGTCTAGGCTTTCGAATATAAACGGGCTTGAGTATTGACGGTCTGGGAGTGAATCTAACTGTGGATGGGTTGGGTTGTGAACGGGTCTCGGTGGTACGGACGCGCCTCCGAGCATGGGCCTGGGGCCTGCTGGGGCCTCCTGGGGCCTCCTGGGACCTCCTGGGGTGTCCTGGGGCCTCCTGGGCCGATTGGGGCTTCCTGCGGCCTCCTGAGGCCTCCTGGGGCCTCGTGTGGCCTCCTGGGGCCTCGAGGAGCCTCCTGGGGCCTCCTAGGATTCGTGCCCCAGGAGAGGCCCAGTCTATAGGACCAGGCGTAAAACACTTCTGATTGGAGCCACATGAGAGGGGCAATCTATAGGAACACACGTGGAACACCGGGGGTGCCCCAAGGGAGGCCCAATCCATAGGAACATACGTAAAACACCTGGGCTTGGATACGCAGGAGAAAGACAATATGTAGAAACATACGTGACACACCAAGGATTCGCACTCCACGAAAACACCGGGAATTGGAGCCACTCCTGTGGCCTTCTGTGGCCTCCTGCTCCTGGGGCCTCGTTGGGGCTCCTGGGGCTTCCGGGGCCTCCTGGTGCCTCCTAGCGCTTCATGTGGCCTCCTGGTGCTTCTTGGGGCCTCCTGGTGCTTCTTGGGGCCTCCTGGGACCTCCTGTGGCCTCCTGGGGCCTCCTGGGGCCTCTTGTGGCCTCCTGATGCCTCCTGGGACCTCCTGCGGCCTCCTGGGGCCTCCTGGAGCCTCCCACGAGTCTGGCTAGCAAAATAAGCAAACCGCTCGAGCCATCCTCACAATCTGGGCCATCAGGGGTTCGAGAACCAGCGCCTCTCTCGAGACGTCCTCCACATCTGCTCCGAAAGCGGAGGACGTTGGGAACCAAACCAGGCACCCCGCTCGAGACATCCCCGCCACTCTGGCACGAACGGAGGAGTGAGATACACCCTGGCGGCCCCCCTTGGGGCCGAAAACCCGCGCCTCGCTCGGGACATCCTCAGACTCTGCTCTGAAAGCTGAGGATCCCCGCAATTTTGGCGCGAACGGAGGAGTTAGGCCCCCCCTGGCGGTTCCCCCTTGGGGGTGCTGGAACCCGCGCCTCGCTCGAGACATCCTCAGAAGTTGCTCCGCCATCATCATCATCATCATCATCATCATCATCACCACCACCACCATCATCATCATCACCACCATCATCATCATCACCACCATCATCATCATCATCCTCATCATCAGCACCATCATCAGCATCAGTATCAGCATCAGCATCATCATCAGCATCAGCATCAGCACCATCATCATCAACACCATTCTCATCACCACCAGCATCATCACCACCAGCATCGTCATCATACGATGATGTGGCGCAACAGAACGTAGCATAGCATACAAACAATGACATAGCATAACATGCCAATATCAAAACATGCCATACAATACCATGATACACAATACCGCAACAGACCATACCATACCATGCCGTAACAAGCCATAACGTAATGTAACGAACCATGTCATACCGTTCAATACAATAACATTGCATGACATACCGTACTCTACCACGAACAGAGGAGGGAGGTGTGTGATGCAGTTGGCGCGGTCGGAGCAATACCAAGAACCCCGTCCTTTGGATATGGGGAATAGCACATCATACCATAACACAACACAACAACATATCATACCATGCCATACCATAACATGAGAAGAAAGAGGGAGGAGGGAGAAGGCGTGACTCTCGACGCGGTCGGAGTAATCACAAGAACCCCATCCTTTGGATATGGGGAATGACACGCTATACCATACCACAATAAACCATACCATACCATACCACATCATGACATAACGTAGCGTAGCCTCAGCAGAACATACAGGACCATCACATAACATACAATGCCATAACAGAACATAGCATGGAACGAGGAGGGAGGTGTGTGAGGCAGTTGGCGCGGTCGGAGTAATATCAAGAAACCCATCCTTTGGATATGGGGACTGACACATCATACCATGACATAACACACTAACACAGCATACTATACCATAACATAACATAAGAAGAAAGAGGTAGGAGGGAGAAGGTGTGAATCTCGGCGCGGTCGGAGTAATAACAACAACCCCATCCCTCGGAAATGAGGAAAACTAAACATGGGTTCGCGCCCTTGCGATTTTTTTGGGAAACTGTTTTTCTTTTTTCGGCACGTTCATTTAATGCAACCAAGGGTGCCTCGCGCGCGCATGTCGAAATCATGCGAACGCCCTGGCGCGCGCGGTGTCGTAAAAAACCCTTTGCAACCTATGGGCCGGAATGCACGCGCGCACGTCGTCGCGCACGCATGGAAAATCCTGCATGTATTTCAAGTTGTCTCGCAAGAGTGATGTTCCAACATGCCTGCGCTCGCGCTGTGGCGACTTCGTCGGAAAGCCAATGCCCACAACATGCGACCAAATGGGCCTCCCGCGCGCGCAAATCTAAATCGTTCGCACGCCCTGACGCACGTGCGAGGGGTGGGGGGCGATCGCTGTCACCGTCGCCCTGATTCCGCGCCCGCCCGAGTCACCGACTCGCACTCAGGTGCCCGCGCGCCAGCGCGGCATGCGAAACGTGCTGGAAGTCCCCCAGCGGTCAGCGCCACAGCGGCCGCGCTGGTCGATCGCATCAGA